GCCCACATGTGGAAGCAGCTTCTCTACATTCAAGAAAGATTTGAAAGACCACTGATTCATGACTAGGTCTTGAACCTGATAAGCTGTTTTCTGACCTAGATTTTTACCACCCATGAAAGGAAAGCATTCTATCTTAATACGACTGTATTCATTGAACATTTTATATTGACTGAATACATCTGGTAATGATTAAATATTTAATTTACTGCAGTAGACCCTTGCCATTTGCAATTATGATTCTCATCATAATCATTACATTGTTAAATTTTGCAGGAAATTCGGTTGTTTTGCTACTGGGAGGTAGGAAACCCCTGCCTCCCAGTATTCATAGATTTCACAATTCACAGTGATCCCAGAAATGGATCCTCTTTGAATGATGAGGATCTACTATACGTACATATATGTTTTTGAGTTCTGGATTCTTGTAAGCTACTTGCAGAACATTGAGCTGCTTCCTTGTTTTTTAAAGTCACGTGTATCTAAAATGCAATATTTGAAAAGATGTATTTAAATTCTAGAAGGACATAGATCAGGGCTATAGCCAACTCTCCTTGCTAGGTGGGCTTGCCCATTATTACTTAAAAGAAATCAGTGATAGTTACGAATTGGTAGCACAGAAAATATATAAATTGCATTGAAACTGTTTTTAAATTCAGATACTTTTACTTACTGATAATATACCCTGTTTTTAATGTACAGTAACTTTCCTAAATTGATCTTGCTTCTCTCTAAGTACTGTACCATACTTTTTAAAATAATCACTGAATGGGGATTTTTAGGATCATTTAAGAAGTCTTGGAACCAATGTTCCCTCTAAGCTATGGAGTCTTGTGAGCAAAAATTCTACTTTGTGAGCTGCTGACATTAAAGTTGTGAGCAAGCAATTTGGCTGCTGCATAAAGTAGTTTGCACTGGAGCCATCCTTCCTGAGCTGAGACAAAAATCTGTGAGCCGGAGGCTAAAAAACCGTGAGCTAGCTCACACTAACTCAGCTTAGAGGGAACACTGCTTGGAACATCTTGCCATTTACACAGAATTGCATAATTAATAGCTTTAAGCAAAGTACCACATAGAATATCTGGAGGGCATTTACCTTTATTGATGCTATGCACATAAGCCAGATGGTATCCAATTTCTGCCATTCCTTCAACTATTGATGTATGAAGGATAAGTAGATAATTACTTGAAATCAACAAGAATCTTGGATTTTTATTAATGTTATCAAGTCTGCAAGTATTTGCATCCACTAGCTTTAGAACTATGAAAGATTAGTTTTAATTGATTACAAGATCTGACTACACTGATAAAGTAATTGATATAATGAATTAAGAGTATTGAAAGTATAGGAATTTCTTTATCCTTTAATGAGTCCTGGCTTTGACACTGTTTCTGTATTTGTCTTTGTGTTGCCATTGTTTGGCAGTTAGCGCTTGTTTTACAAAATGACATCTTGTTTTGCTACTTTTGTAGGTACGCTTCATGTGGGTGATGAAATTCGGGAAATAAATGGAATCAGTGTAGCAAATCAAACGGTAGAGCAGCTACAAAAAATGCTTGTGAGTACTCAAAAGACTATTTATGTGAAAATGAAAGTTCATTCCTTTCTACTCAGTTAATACCAGACTATAGTATCATATGAGCTAGGCATCCCTAGCATCAACCAACAGTACAAAAGGCTGTGCTTCAGGTGATTTTTGTTTCTCTGGAGTCCCTCCCTAAGATTTTAAGATACATAGTGGTCACAGTACTGCCTCTCCTTCACTCCTTATTTACTTGTCTCACTGCAGTGGAATAGAATAAAGTGTTGTCCCTAGCACTGATTTGTTTTTTCATTTGGAACTGTGTGTGTCCCTACCTTTCCCTACAGCGATCTTCTGCAACACAAAAAAAATGTTGCTAGGGGCCAAGCAAAAAGCCTGGGGGACAGCAGTAAGGAGCAGGAATACAGCAGAATCTTCCTCCATCTTGAAACAGTGGAAGTTCTACTGGCAGGAGGAGAGCAATTTCATTTGATTCTTCTCACTTCAGTCCCCATCCCAGGTTGCATCGATTTTATCCATGAAGGCCCCACAGCAGTGCCTTTTCATTGGTCACAGGTGCTGTTGTGGAAAGGGGAAGATGGGGAAAGATCCACTTCTGGCTTTCACAGTTCATAGGTTACATGCACTATTTCTTTTACATTCAGGTTTATTTATAATGACATACCTTTATTCCTGCATTATAGCATCCTATAAAGTTTTCATTTTTCTATGCCCTGCAAAATGCCCTCTCTAAACATGAATGGTAATTCAAATATTTACTCTTGATTACACAAATAAAGAGCAGGGTATCAGTGGTCCTTGGTGACAATATCTATTACTTCATGAAATACGAAGAAGAAATGCAGTGCCTACCAGTATCATTTGTTCCTTTTCATAGGCATTGACCAAGCATAATCTTGTTGTATAGACTGATATAATAACATAAAGCACAGGAAGGAAGTAACATAAGCACAAGAAGGAAGCTATTTTCAAAGTGTTCTGATAAGTAGCTTTGTTCATAAATTAACCCTGTTCTTTGTATCTAGCTTCATCACTTGTCTTGAAAGGAGCAATGTGTAGTAGGAGTGTGCATTCGGCAGAACCCGGGCCAAATATATACCTGAATAAGGCCTTATCGGCATTATTCAGGCATATATTCAGCGGAATGTGATTCTCCAATGTGTATTCAGCAGCCGAATAGAGAATCCCGAATATATTTGGGATCCCCAAATATATTCAGCTCCCTTATACCCTATGGGGCCATTGTAGTCAATGGCAAATCTCTCCTAAGTTACACTCGGGCTTGGCGGTTCTTTTGGGGAGAGGCTCCAGCAGCTACACTGCAAATTTGATTCCTCTGCCTCAAATCCCCTCCCCCCCAGGCCCACAAATATAACATAGGAGAGATTTGCCATTGACTACAACAGCCTCATAGGGTATAAGGGAGGCAAATATATTCGGGAATCCCGAATATTTTCTGAATAGGGTATCCATACCGATCTTGATATTCAGGAATATTAGTGTATATCAAATATATTTGGATCAGAGAATCCTGAATCCAAATAATACTGTATATTTTTCTTTGCATACACCTAATGCGTAGTGTACATTCAGTTATGACAAGAAAATATTCAGTAGATCTTAGCTTTCACCTAAAATTTTTATGGCATTATAGATTAAAAGTTTTTAAATGTTACTTTTTTAGTATGCCACCTCATTAGCCTTACTGTATTTTGTATTTTTTTTCTATTAAAACTATTATACATATAGCTAAATCTCTATATTTAAGATGTATACAGTACCAAGAAATGGGTAAAAGTAACAATCATTCAAACAATAAAAAGTAAGTTGAAAATGTGGAGATTGGAGCAGTTTAGTGACCCAAAATGTCTTCAGTGTGCAAATTTCTGAAGGTCTTTCAGGATGATTAATTCCACATTTGGCTTTATTTCAGCAGAGTAATACAAATGTGTCTGTTTCTAAAAGCAGTTACAAGCTTATGATAGACTTTTCTTATCTATTTCTATATGAGAGTGTCAGACCTGCTGCAACTGGTGGGTTTTCTGATTTTCTTGAGATATTAGCTGGCTCTTTCTGGTTTTTCTTTATTAAAAAAAACCCAAAAAAACTGAATGCTTTACTTTTTCCAGAGAGAAATGCGAGGTAGTATCACCTTCAAGATTGTGCCAAGTTATCGCACTCAGTCTTCTTCATGTGAGGTAATAGATTTAATTAATTATTCTCTTTCCTCTCAATCTTGTAACTAACTGCCTGCTGATGGCTGAATGTTATTGCTTTCTGGGAAATTGTTTCTGCCTGTGCTGTTAGATCACGCACACCAATTTTACAACAAAGATAACGGAACAGAGTAGATTCTACCCACCTACTGTGTCGTCCTTTCATATTCATTGCATCCGCTCATTGAATACCCCTAACAGCCTGTAATGGGGGAAAGGGTCTTTCAGTGTGTCTAAAGGAAAGCAAACAATTAAGATGTTGGATGGTAAAAACATGCTTAAATATGTTCTCAGCTGCCGGTGGACAGAAGGTTATGAAGGGAAAAAACAGAACTCTAGGGATCTGATCATTTCTCAGAATTAAAATCCTGGAACTACAGTTGCAAAATATTGAGATAAAGGAAATTGGAATCTAAAAGGAGACAAAAAGTCCTTTAAAATGTGGAAAATAAAGGCAAATGTATGAGTACTGGCATGCAAGAAACAAAATCATCGTGTTATGGCTCTGATGAGTTGCACCTAATAAAACCTAATAAAACAATGGAAGATTAAGTAGTTCTGCTTGCAAATTAGGAGAAATCAGTAGACAAGCAGGATTATATTCACATGAAAAGGTGAAAGTTACATATCTAAATATAAAGGGAATAGCTACAGATGTATTTAAATTATTGAAATGTGTATGTTATTTATTTAGCCAACAAACAGCAAAATTATGAGGTGCCTGAAAAAGAATATATATAGCACAGATCTCAAAAAGGTGGAAAGATGTAGTAATATTGCCTCCAGTACCTAGTGACCAGTAAAGTCTAACTTTAAGATGGCAATAAATTGGCCAATCTGTTTGCCCAGTGTAAATAGGACTGTATCAATATAACTTTATTTAATAGAGTAACTGAGTTTATAGAATGGTATCCAGCAATGGGTTGGACCCAGCCTGCTTTTTCATTCAGTCTCCCCCAACCCTCTTCCCTGTTACAGCCCCAATAACTTTTGTATATGCAAGTCCCATGATACTAACCACAACCTTTTTTGGGTGTCCAAAGGGGGACCCTTCCTTTTCTTATTAGCAGAAAAGCTGGTTGGATCCAACCCTGTGGATCAGATTGTATTATGTGAGATTTCTGCCCATTTCCCCTCCCCATTTACACATCCCTGAAGCAGCCCCGTAGCTAGGGAATTTTTTTGGAGGGGGCCTCAGGGGGCCTGCCAGCTAATTAAATGAAAGTACCATGCAGGTGGTATGTTGGAGCACTTTAAGGGTAGCCCAAGAGGGAGGGGGCCCAGAAGAAACACTAGGGGGCCAGGCCCCATGGGCCCCATGTTAGCTACGGGCCAGCCCTGAAGGATATTCATGTTGTTCCTGAGTGTCCACCAACTCCCAGGAACAGGACTTTGGGCAGCACAGCAAGCTGAAGCAAGATGGGGGAAGCAGAAAAAGTTCTGTTCTGTGCTCACAGTACATATGATCTAACCCCATACACTGAATCATTTTTGAGTAAATTTATAACATTTCTTCCTGGTGAAAATGTTGCATTTGTGCATAAGAGGAATGTAACTGGCAGTAACATAGTTTAGATGAAATGCCATGTAAGGAGGATAGAAACGTATCATATAGAGAAGAAAGAATTCAGTTATGAGGAATACAGTGAGAGGAGTTGTGTCTTGTTTGACAAATAAGTAACTGTTCCTTGAGACAATTGTTAAATCAAAGCTGCTTTCTGTAAAATGTTAACATTTATATTCTGATCCCAGAATTTCAGGAAAGCTTCAGGTGTGCTTCAGTGGAGCATTCTAGAGTGTGAGGTTAGGCTATTAATACTTTACAGCAATTTTCGCATAAGAAAAATGAGAACATTAATATATCTTAATAAACCATTTAATTACATTTAATATTATATACACGGATTATTTAGGGCTAATGTTCATTTTGTTGTGGCTGTGGTGAGTGGAGATTCAAAGAGGGCCTCACTTGGATAATTTGACATTTATAATTTTAATAAGATTGGTTAGACAGAAGTATATTTAGAGTACAAATACACAGTAGAGAAATAAAGATCTAGGTAAAATACTGAAGAGAATGATGTGTGAGAGAGAAGTAGAAGATTATGAAATCAATACGAGAAGTAGAAGATTATGAAATCAATACGAAGTGGGTATGATACAGTGAGAGAATGTAAGTAGGAGTGTAATCCAGTAGTTTTTCTTAATTCCGTAAGATTGAAAATGAATAATTAATTTTAAACTGAAGGAAAAATATGTAAAATATCCTAATTTTACAGCAACCAGACAAACAAAATACCTTGGAAGGGAATAGAAATCTTTAAATGAGCTAAATTTATATAGATTAAAGGTAAAGGTAAAGGTTCCCCTTGCTAGTCGAATCCAACTCTAAGGTTGCGGTGCTCATCTCCTTTTCAAAGCCGAAGAGCCAGCACTGTCCGAAGACGTTTCCGTGGTCATGTGGCCGGCATGACTAAACACCAAGGCGCACAGAACGCTGTTACCTTCCCACTGAAGTGGTACCTATTTATCTACTTGCAATTTCTTGCTTTCGAACTGCTAGGTTGGCAGGAGCTGGAACTAGAAACGGGAGCTCACTCCATCATGCGGCACCCGGGTCTCGAACTGCTGACCTACCGACCTTCCACAGCCTGCAGTTCAGCGTCTTAACCACTTGAGCCACCGCAGCTCCTATTACTTCGATAGAATAGTGTTGAGCATAATTGGATTACCTCTTAATGTCTTTATGTTTTGATAAAGTATAATTTTCAGTGCCTCAGTGTAAAACTATTTAAAATATTTTTCTAAAAGGATGAAATAAACTAAAGAAGTTTCTTTCCTCTGTCACCCATGTAAAATGTTTACAGTTGCTTGCTTTAAGTTGTTTAAAGTTATAAAAAAGATTCTGTTCTTGTAATAAATTATGCTTTAATAGATTTGTTATGATTAAATTCATTTTAAGGAAGGATGTTTTTCCTACTTAGCAAACAAACTGGGACAAATACTATGTAAGTGATGTCATACTTTAAAATACTGCATGCTCAAATGTATCAATTGTTCCTATGCATGGATTCTGGTAACATATATTAATGGCAATTTAAATGGCAGTTTCATAATTTTTAAGTAGAAACTGAATGTTTTAATATTTAATAAATTCTGCAAATGACTGATCTGTATCAATAGCATAACATCCAGTACATTTGTAATAAATAGGAAGAGGTCATCTTTGCTATGGAGGATAGCCGTGCTCCTTTTCACCCCTTTAAAAGCACGACTCCTGTGCAAGAGTTACACAGCTCAACAACAAATAGGAGCCTTTTTTCCCAGTGGGAAGGGGATGCTACGTTGCCATCACTAAATGCATTGTGAGCTATATTCAGTAGGTGCATGTGACACTGCACCTCAACTGCTGTCCTCACAATAGTCAAAGTAGCAATGCCCATGTTATCCAGGGGGGAAGTAGTATATTTTCCAGATACAGAATAGTGCTGCTGAATGCCTAAAAAATGCAACATCCTGTCAAACTAATTGTGCACAAACAAAGCAGGAAACAAATGCACATTTGTAGTGGTAAAACAAACCCCAAAATTGATCACCCAGAAAGCCTGTAAGGAGGAACTTAGAGCAAAATTCTCTTTGAGATGTGTTTCATGTGCACAGAACTTTTTGGTACCTTTAGTTGTAGGGCATTTTTGAAGCAGAGATAAGAGCAGATAAAATTAATTTTAGTATTCCTTACTGGAATAAAAAAGCTGCAGTGATATAATGTGCATGGGGTTGATTTGTAACTACTACTAATAGAGGTCAAGATCTAAAAAACAGTCCTCATCATGATATGCTTTTTGAAAGCTAGCATGCGTACAACATTGTAGAAATGATTAAATACATTTGAATAGACACCAAAGAGAGAAAGCAGTGTCCTGTCTGTAGAGCCTTCAAGACATATGATCACAATTTTTCTATTGAGAGTTCTTCTGCATTAATATTTTATCTTAATTGAGTTCCAATTTCATTTTTCCCCTCATATTGTTTACTTCCATAATAACTAGGAGTGTGCAAAAAAAGAAAATGCCGGTATTTTTCGGCTTCGGGTAAATCAGACCTGAAAAATATTGGTAAATGCTGAATTTCCCCAGTAAAATACCAGTAAATTATTTGGATTGGGGCTATATTCAGTATTCCTGAAAACTTTGGGGACCAATTTACACCACCAAAGGGAAAGGAGGCAGGCAGCTGGGAGTGAAATTGACTAGAGAAAGCCTGGTTCTATGCCCTTCTCCAGCTCACAGATTGTAGCTGGAGAAGGGCAGGCAGGGAACCTAGGCCTGTTTAAAATGCCTTTCTTTCCGTCCCTGAGATCAGGGAGGGAAAGAAAGGCATTTAAACATGCCCCCCCCCTTCCCCAAGCTTCTCCATAAAAGCTGAGAGGCTCAGGAAAGGAAGGGGGCATGTTTGCATGCCTGCCCTCTGTTTTCCTAACCTGCCCGCCACAGCGGGCAGGCTGGAGAGACCAAGGGCAGGCATGTTTACAATGCCCCCGATTTCAGGGAGGGAAAGAAAGGCATTTAAACCCAACAGCTGACTGGTGGCTCAGGCAGCTGTTAGGTTTTTCGGTATAGCAAAATGAACCCTTAAAAAAAAGCCAGATAATTATGGCTTTTTTGGGTTCAGCTATACCGGTAGCCAAATACTGATATCTGATCTGTATTCAACTTATGTGATACCTGAAAAATACCTGAATGCACACCCCTAATAATAACTCAAGGGCAAAATCAACTGTTAATTTCAATATAAGTAAAAGCTAAGGACTGTGGGTTTGACATTGTTGGGAAGGTTTAACCTTTTCCATATGTCTACCAATCACTGCACATTTTAAAGAAAAAAACTGAAGTGTCTAAACAGCAGACCACCAGTAAGTTTCAGAAACCCAAAATATATGCATTATTTTATCATACTATCAGTATCAACATAGGATATAAAGATCTTTGACATGCCCGAAGGAAATGGATTACTTGGAGTATCAGGTTCCCATGTCATAGAAATAGCATTTAAAAGTCCCTGAAGGTCAAACAACATGAGATCGACTGTTGGTACTTTCACTGTTTTTTAAATAATCAAAAGCAGCCAGGGCAGAGGGGAGAGAAGAAATTCAGATCAGGACTGCAGCATTGTGGGAGTAGGAACAGAAGCCTTTCTTCTGTGCTATTTTGCAATGAAAATTGGGCTCTCTCCCTGAAGATGATATTAGCTTGGGGGAGGGAGGTATACAGGTACCACAGAGGTATCTGGTTCTCCCCCCCCCCATAGGACAAAGAAGGGGGGGGATCTTTCTCAGAAAAACAGCAGAGGAGCAAAAGATGAAACATTCTCTCCCCCATCACTACAGCCCCAAACCAAACATGACACACCCAAAAAATTCCCTGAGAAATACAGTCACAGCTCTGTATCTCCTTTGGTTTAGCAACTTCCTATATGGAAAGTTATTCATGTAGCAATAACACAACAAAGACTTTGATATGTGGAGCAATTTGTTCCGCATGCCAGCCCAACCATAATTGTTGTATCTTTGTTTAAATTCTATCTCAAATAGAGCTGCTCTGGTATCATGTTAGAACGAAACAAAATGAATGATACATACAAAGAATGATGTGAGCAGTTAAAAAAATATTCAGTCTTATATCCAAAATATTATATTGGCACCAAGAGACTTCAGGCATATGAAGTAAAGTCTTCTCCCTCGGGAAGGTATTTAGTAGTATTCTGCCAATGTCATATCCTTTTTGTTGGTAACTGTCTCCAATTGTTGAAGTTGCATTGATTTTGAGTATATCTTCTTTTCTGTATATCTTAATACTTGATCTTTGATTTTATTGGGGTTTACATTGGGATTATGTGATCTTTGAAATAGGTTAGAATTGACATTTTTCTCATCTGTAAACAATGTATATGACATGCAGATGCTGGCTGATAAACATCATATTGACCAATGCAGTTCACAGTCTTGGAATTCTATCAGCACCAAAAAGGAGGACATACCTGTCATATTTCATATTTGCAAGATAGTTTCTTGAGATGAGGCTTTTGAGAACAGGAGATTCCATTTTGGGGGAGTAAAGTAGCAACAGTGATTCTCTGAATGAGATACTATGTACAAGAACAAAATATTAAGCAAACTACCACAGTAACTCTCTTCCATGTGAAAACTTTGAAATAATGGAAATGCTATTGATAAATAAATAAATAAATATATGCATGATCCCCAAAAAAGTGGTTCAGGGCAGTCCCCCTTTCTCCCGGCCACAGCGAACCACCGCCTGGAGATAGGGGGTGGGGACAATCTTGGAAGGGACTTCCCTTCCACCTTTCTCCCTGATATGGTTCACCAGGGCCAGGAGAAAGGGGGAGATGCCCAAAAAAGTTTAAATAGCTTCCAGATATTTAACCATTCAGTTTTGCTTCCCCCCACTTCAAAGGGGGAGAGTTAAACTGAAAGGTTTAATGGCTGGAAGCCATTTAAACCTAACAGCTCCATGGGTCTGCTCCCTTCAAAGTGGGGGAGTTTAATGACTTGCAGCCATTTAAACCTAATAGCTGACCTGTGGACCCCATGCCGCTCAGCTGTTAGGTTTAAATGGTTGGCCCTGAACAGCTGAACCAGCCACAAGTCCCGTAAACGTTTGGGGAAGGCACCTTCCCTGAACATTGGTTCACGAACTCCAAACCAGCTCAAGTTCAGGCCGAATTTCGGTTTGTGCCCATCCGTAATTTAGAGTTTAACACAGGCCAGATGCTTTCATCTTCCACTGGTTTCCACAGATTTGAAGTTTTATATGTTCAAGACTTAGAGGGATGCATGTTAATCTTGCCTTTTAAATTACAGCATTCAAGGCTTTGCTTTGGTTTTGATTAGACAGCTTAGAATATACAGGTACAAAAGCATAAAATAAAGAATAAAGAAAACAAAAAAATTCTGCAACAGGCTAGAAGAGAATGCAGAGGTATTTTTTTAAAAAAGATACTAGGAAATCATTTAAAATCTGTTTTATAGAGAACAGTTTTAACATTTTCAAAATGCAACAATGGCAATGACTGGCTATTGTTTTAATAAAAAATGTGGAAAGAAGAAATGGAGTTCATTACCACTGTTCATTATATAACATGGTAGTAAATGTAGCTTCCATTCTGCAAGCATAAATATATTCCTAACTGCAAGTGCAGATCCTCTCTATGCCGATATGAAAATGGTTCAGTTGCTTGCTTGATGACATCTGGACCACTCTTATAAGGGATAGTTCACATTTTACATTTTGTTATATGTAAAATGGCCCTATCTTCTCTAATAAGGCTTGTTCCCTGTGTGTGTACACTTCAGCTTTTTGGCTGTTGGGGAACTGCCCCAACAACTGATACCAGTGAATGAAGTCTGTGTGTAAGAGTAAAGTGTATGTGTGTATCTCCAATATGAAATGATTTCTTTGCAAATAAAATCACTATTAAAATTATGTATACAATAGAGTACAGTAATGTACAGGAAATGTACCAGTAGTGGTAGATATATTTATCCCCCATGTGTTGTTTATTTCCTTCCAGGTAAAAGGTGTTTTGGGGATCAAACCAACACAAATGTTTAGAAGTCTCAATGTAGATTACAAATAGAGCTATTGAGCTTTCACTGTTGCTCCAAGGCCAGTTGAATCTTTAGACTAAATTCAGTCCTAGCAGGATATGCTTAGAATGATCATGATCCAAGACCAGACTAGGTATGTGTCTGGTCAGTGCCTTGATATTCACCTTATGTTCCATTGTGGAAGAAAGACGGGGGATATAAACGTATTATATTAGTATCGTAATATCACAAATAGAGAATTGTTCAACTGTTGAACAATTTAGGCTTGACTTAATCTCACATTTTTGTATGTAGACTAACTTTTTACATGTGTTAGGAATTAATTTCCATGCTTTCTAAAATCAAGGCTATTTACCTTACTCTACTGGGAGAGTGTGACTGCCCTCTATTTAGTCATCTCTATTTCTTTTTAGAGTATGGATTGATATGGTGGCAGAAGACAAATGTTTTTGTCTTGATCATCACACAATATATGAAACTTCCTGTTCTAACCTAATGTAGTCATATTGCATACCATGCCCACTTTTGTTCTCTAGCATTCCTTTGGTGTTGTAAAGCTTGTAAGCATGAAAACTAACGAAACTGTTCTTGCATTGCAGTGTGCATTTAATTCATGGTTTCTTTTTTCAAAATTCTACATTATTAATTCTGTACCTAAGCCATAGTGTTATAGTGAGTACACTTCAAAGTGTAGGTGCATTCTGCTTACTCTAGCCACCCTTTCACAAATTTTGTTTCATATTATTCACTGGGCGACCTTGGGAGGACCAGTCGCACTCTTTCAGCCTAAGGTACCTCACAGGATTGTTGTGAGGATAAAATGGAGAGGAAAATGATGTATGCTGCTTTGGGTTCCCATTGAAGAGAAAGGCAGGGTATAAATGAATTAAATAAATATTGCTTCCATCCCTTAAGAACCAAGCAAATTTCAGCTGGTACAAATCTTCTCCTTTCATTTCTCCAGAATACTGTTCAGATCAAGTCAAATTACTGTAGACTATAGTAAAGAAACATAAAGGTGAAAAGTGAAGTGAAGAGGTAGGATCCAGGATCATCACATTTTAATTCTGAACAAGAGGGATCATGCTCTAAGCTCTCCCTTTATAATGTTTAACTTTCTTTCTTAAAACTACTGTGTAAAAGGATTAAGTACACATTTAGTAAACCTTATGTTCCCCTTCCCGCACTCTTTCTTTATTCAATATTCACCTTCCCAATAAAGCAGTTTTCTAAAAAAAGAAAGAAAGAAAGAAAACAGTCAGGGTTCTGCTGTATGCATTTGCATGCAGTGTGTAGTTAACCACTAAGAGATTCTACAAGTTCTCTAGCCAATTCTTTGTCTTAATATTTGATCTGTCTTGCTATTCTTCAGTGCTGCGTATCTGAGGATAGCTCTGGACTAGAGGTGTGAAGAAAAAAAATTCAGCCCGATTCAGATTTGGCCGAATCGGGCAGAATCAATTTCAACTGGCAGAAAGACTCCTGCATGTCAATTTCAGCAGAACCAGCCTATTGGGGAGTCTTTCGCCAGCCAAATGTCAATTTCGGCCCTATTATATCCTATGGGTCATTGAAGTCAACAGTGTAGCTGTTGGAGCCTCTCCCCAAGTTACCCACCAAGTTTCAAGAACATTGGACCAGGGGGTCCAATTCTACAGGCCCCCAAACAGGTTGCCCCCATTTTTCCACCATAGAGAACAATGGAGGGGATGGGGGTAACCTGTTTGGGGGCCCGTAGAATTGGACCCCCTGGTCCAATGTTCTTGAAACCTGGTGGGTATCTTGGGGAGAGGCTCCAGCAGCTATCCTGCGTGTTTGGAGCCTCTCCCTCAAACCCCCTTTCCTCCAGCCCCCAGAATATACCCTATGTTTTCACCATTGACTTCAATGGCCCATAGGATATAATGGGGCTGAATTGCCTCCGAAATCTGAATCGGCCCACAGCAGCCCGAATGGGCCATTTTCGGGGGTGGATTTGGTTCAGACTAACTGAATGCACATCCCTACTCTGGACAGGGTTGAGAGTTGTCAAACCTGGGGAGAAATCATACAATAGCCAACCATAAAAGGCTATTTGAATTATGTCAGAGGCCTTCCTTAAAAAGAAATTCCTACAATGCTTCCTAAAGGTCAGCCGTACTCAAACTTAGGCAGCTTTCCCTCAGCAGAGTTTCAGGTGGGTAGCCATGCTGATCTGCAGTAGAAGAACTAGATTCAACTCCAGTGGCACCTTAAAGGCCACCAAGATTTCCATGGTATAAGCTTTCAAGGGTAAAATCTCCCTTTGTCAGTACCCTGGAAATCTTGTTTATCTTCAAGGCCCTGTTGGACTCAGTTCTAGTTTTTCCCTAAGCAAAGGATACCATAACATTTGGGCTACAATATAAAGGCTCTGCATCATTTTCTCCTTGGCCCTCTTTGATTAACAGAAGGGTACTCTCAGTAGGACCCACTCCTTCTGATCGCATTAGGGTGGCTGCTCACCAAAATATTCAGCCATCCCATTTTGTACATATGTATGTATTGGTAAGTGAAAATATACACTAGTATAGGCATATAATTATCCATTTACTTTGCTAAATTATATCTGAGAAATTTAGTCCACTGTGTGTTTTCATAGCATAAGTGACCATTGGCCTTTATCACAAATGCATATAGTCACAACTGTTTAATACGAATTAAAGCAACATTTTTCTAAATCATGTACTAACCTGATTTTGAGTATTACCATAGTGACAAATCCAAATGCTGTATCTTTGTCTTCCATGTTTTTCTGTAAATTATTTATTGCAGAAGTATCCACATAGTTGAGGCTTTCATTTGGGGCTTAGTCATGTCTTACATACCCCATTTCCAGAGTCCTACATCCTGTAGACCTAACTCATATTCCTACTTTAATGTTGACACCTGTACCAATTTCAGACTCTGAAAAGGCCATGATATTACTGTGGTTGAAAATCATTGCCATGCTAGACAAACCAGAAAAAAAGCATCATTTCCTCAAGATCACTCAGGGCACCTAATGTAAAAATATCAGATCATGTTTTGCACAAATTCAAGAGACGAAGAGAATTAAGTGAATCAGTTTCAGCATTTTGGTACTCTTATAATAGTATTCATCAGAATAAAACCTTTCCAGATACTAAGAAAATGAGAGATCAGATCAAGGCTTATATTTTAGGAAACTTGTACAGTTTAAAATATAAACTCTTCCAGAGACGAAAAGGCTAAAAAAATTATTCCAAGCCTGTGGATTTAACTGTTGATTTAAGTATATCTGTGTTCTATAGTAGTGTTGTGTGATAATGAACCTTGTGTCTTATTTCAGAGAGATTCCCCCTCTACATCCAGACAGTCCCCAGCTAATGGTCATAGCAGCATTAACAATTCTGTTTCGGTAAGACCTCCAGTTCTAGACAGAGAGTGTTCAAATCTTGTTGGTGCTCATCTACCATTCCTGTTATGATGACATGCTCAGTGGAAAATTGTGTTCTGCTGATAAAAATTCTTAGATATGTAATTCCCCATTTTCTCTCATTCAGGGGTTTATTCAGCAGCCTAATCTTCTCATTAAAATCTGTTTAATGAGTTACATTCAGCTGTAATGTAAAAATTCACTCATCCCTGAAATATGCTTATCATTCTCCTCATCCTGACTTTTTCAAAACTAAGCCAAAAAAAGGACTAACTTATATTCTGAAGTTTTTGAAATAGCATTTTTAAGCAAAATATTTGTATTAGCAGGTATTTGGGGGGGTTTCCAGACCTGGACATTTTTGTTTTTTTTAAAGCATTCTAGATTGCAGTATTGGTTTCCGCTATCTGAGTTAAGGAATTGGTGTGTCCTCTGCTGTTGTGGTATGTGCACATATTTTGTGAAATATGAGCCTTGCCTGGATATGAAAAGCAAAAGGAACTGGCTTTAAACTGCATTTATAAGCCAAGCTATTAACATCACATCTTTAACACAAAGTACTTCCTTTTTAGCCATATATTCAGGCAAAAAGGTACTATTAACTGTAATAGTTGATGCTGCTGATATTTATCACTTTTCTTTGTCTGAATGCATATGGTAAAACGTTAGAAAGCACCTGTAGAGACTACATCTTACTGCAGTGTCTCTTGTACTGTCAGCCTAAATATTTTATTAAGAAATTGTATTTTCTGTGAATTTTTCGTTAATCTCAATATCAGTGAATCTTCATGCTGTTTAAAGTATTGCAGTTGTGATTAGCTAAAGGGATAAGTTGGTTTACAGGTAATCTAAAATGTACATGGATTAAAACTGTAGTGACAAAATGTATTACTATAACTATCTCATATTTTTAAGAATATATAATAATTAGAATTTTAAGAATGAAAAAGGTAGTCTACTAGAGCTTCCTTCACTTACAGGTGCTTTTGTGTTGAAGATGTTGAATTCTCTATTAAAATCACATTTTCTGTCTGCTTAAACTTTACCTGCTTTCTTCAGCTTGCTGCTAAACAGCCTGGGTTTGACATATTTTCTATGAAATTATCATTTTTAAATAAGTTGTTAATACTTGCAAATTGGCTTTTTGTAGTAACAATACAACTTTTGTAATGTATATTTAAAGTAAAATGAAATTTCTTTTCCTGGGTCAACTTTATTCTGCAGGACTTGCCATCGACAACACAACCAAAAGGACGACAGGTGAATAGCTGTTCCCCATGGAAGCTTTTTAACTTAGCTGCTTAGTAGCAAACCCTCCTTACCATCTCAAAATTGATATTCCATTGTGTGCTGTCCTTAATTCTACAAACCTCTTCCATTTTATGTTTTGCTGACATGGCTGATTCATAGTAGTGCCATTTTTCTGTGCCATGAATTATATAATTTTTTGTTACTAACAGTGGTTATAGTCAGAATTGTATGCTTTGTCCGCATCAGCATTCTATGGCATATTTCATTTCATTTCATTTAGTGGCTCTCTGTTGCTGTCCTGGAACTAATTTTCATGCGTTTTTCCATACAAATACCCAGAATGCATACACAATGGAGCTTTTTCTTTAATGGATGCAGATTTGACATTTCATACCCTCCCTAATAATTTGCTTCATTAATCTGATTCTTGAAGCGGGATAGTAAAATAGGTTTAGTCAGGGTCAAATGGCATGAGACAGATTCTTGTATCTTCTCTCCAACTTTTTAAAATTAGCCCTCTCTTTTGCCATTTTTCCACTCAAAATTGTCGTCCCCCTAATCTGCATTTTCCATTGCAGTGGATACAGAAAATATAGAGGCTGATATTGTTTTCCTTGCTGTGGAAAAGCACATACGGTGTTGATTTGAGAGGGGAACGTTAAACAGCCCCTCCCACTCATTGTGTCTGCGTTCAAGATTGCAGCCTCCCAAGACTGCTTTTGTTTTTCTGATTTGTTTTAAGAAAAAATATATCAGGGAAGAAAAGTTACCGAACTGTTGTGTGTACTTTCAGGTGGTGTAGTAGTACAAGTTAACTATTTAAAAATGAGGGCTGAAATCCAAATGGTACATGTGATTCTGTTTACACACCTCTCTGATTCTTCTTACATACCTCTCTCCTTGTGATAGGTCCTCAGGATTTCCTGGACCATCACCTCCCCAAAATATTGCAGGAGTAGCACTGCATGTGAGGTACCACTAGAAAAAAAATCAGTTGCTGCCCCTTCCTTTTATGCAAAGGTTTGAATCCTACAAAACATGAATAATGAAAGTGGACCTCCCTGGCTTCACCTTGCCATAGCCAACCTTCTGTAACCTGCAAAAATGCATTACCAGGTTTAGGGCACCTCTCTGGACAGATATCCAAATGGCATGAGATGTCGCAGTGAGGAAGGGGGATCAAGTGAGATCCTATCTCCTCACCCAGCTTTTGCCAGTGCCAGAGGCTCTGCTGTTGGAATGGTGGTGGTGGAAAGTACCATCAATTCAGAGTCAACTTATGGTGACCCCATAGGATTTTCAAGGCAAGAGACATTCAGAGGTGGTTCACTATTCCCTGCCTATGTGTACCAACCCATCCAAATACTAACCAGTGCTAACCCTGCTTAGTTTTCAAGATCTGACAAGATGAGGCTAGCCTGGATCATCCAGGTCAGAGTGGAATGGGAACAAGGGCAATTTCACCCAATTATACTTCTTCATTACAGTTCCTCCCCAGTGGTACATGGCTTTTTGCCAAACCCTATCAGTGTCTTTTCAGGGGTCATGGAAGCTGCTGTGGAAAAGAAAAGGTTCATAGGATTCAGCTGTTTTGTGTACATCTTTCTAGATCCCATCTGTGTATAAAAAGTATCAATATATCTAATTCTTAACATGATCTCGTCTGTGGATACTTAAATAAAGAGATTGGGGCCGCAGACAGACAAGACATCTATCTACAAACGTATGAAAAGCCCCAGATTTGCAGGAAAAAATCTAAAATCTTTTTTTTTAATCGGGATAACCCCCCCAAATAATAGAAGTAGTGCCTGTTGCTTTAAGAAAAAACTGTTGCTAGGCAACCACAAAAAGTATTACCACCATTCAAGCTTTGGTTTCGGTCAGTAAAAGATGGGGGTGAAGGGCATATAAAAAGTAGATTGATTGGTGGATGGGAAGGCAACAAGGAAGCAGGGAAAGGAGAGGAAATGGAAGCTGCCAGGTGGAAGAAAAGAGGAAATTGTGTGGGGAGGGGGATACAGGAAATCTGAGGTGCCCCCCACAGGTCCTTGAAAGTTCCACACTAGGCAACTGGGCCCGACCCAGTAGCCAGCACTATGCAACTGGGGCTAGCCCTGCAGCTGGCACTGTGCAACTTGGCTATAGTTTTCCGAGGCAGAAGCTGCCAGGATGAGGGAAAGCTGAAGGTACATTGGCTGGTGGGTGGTAGAGAGTGAAGGAAGCAGGAATAGGGAAGATGCTCTGAGGAAGGGAAAGAGAGAATAGTGGAAGGGAAAATGACATACTTACTGTAAGTCCTTGTGGGGTCCTCCAATTGTCACTATATGTATCTGTAGATACTTAAATCCAGAGATTGGAGCTGTGAACAGGTAAGACAGATCTTTCTACAAACCTGAAAAATGTCCCAGGCTTCAGAAAAATCCAAAATCTAAAAAAATAGTTTGCAGGGTAAAACCCCACAAAATAATAGAACCAGCACCTGTACCTTTAAGAAATGAATGCCCTCATTGGTCATTGCTAGATAATCACAACAGTATTTCCAGCATTCAAGTCTTGGGTTTCTGTTAATAAAAGAAAGAAGGGGAAGGGCCCTTTCTAGGGCTGTTTGGTCTTTGAGAGAGGAGCCATCACTGGTGGCAACTACTGAGCAACTTGCTACCATCTGTCTTGCATGACTTCCCAGAGCTCAGCTGTTTGGTCAACAGCAGCCACACCACAAAAGCCAGTTTGCTGCAGTAGTTAAGCATTTCAGTGAGATCCAGATATGAATCCTCTGTCTGCCATGGAAGCTCTCTGGGTGACTTTGGGCCAGTTACACACTCTCAGCCTTGTGAAGAAAGGTGGGGTATAATTGAAGTAAATAAGTAATAAATGTAGCTGAAAATGGGGGTCAGATTTGTTTTGTTGTTTTGTGGGTGGGAAGGGGAAAAGGAAACAGGAAAAGGGAAAGGCTCTGTGTGCTTTCAGGGAAGGAACAGAGGAAATAGTGGTGGAGGGGAAATAAGATCCCCCTCCCACAAGTCCTTATAGGTCCCCTGCTTGTATTCTTGTATATTTTAACACAAAGTTGTGATAATAAAGGGGTTGTTGGGCAGTTGCCAAGAAGAGAAGCATTTGAGATTTCTTTATGAATCGATCACAGGAAGGAATGTTTTTACTCTTGCCAAAAAGAATCAAGTTGGTTCACTAAAATGGTAGCCAACAGTCTAAAGAAGTTACTCAGAGCCAGCCTGTTCTTTCATTTTTTGTCAAGTTTACATGAAAAACCATCTGCTTTGCTACTTCCATTTTGTTTTGTTTTAGAAAACACATTAGACATTTAGATCAAAGTGCACCAAAGCGATTCTTCAAGTAAATATCTTACCAAAGATAATTTTATAAGCAGATTATAGTGACCTTAGTGTTAGCAAAGTACATTGAGAATCAGTTGAAACTTCAGGGAGTCTCAACTTAGTCTTAAACTGACTTCAGTCACACATCAAGAAATGTAGCATGTATGGTGATGCCTATTTAGTGGTGCTTATACTAACATCAGCCAGAATACTTTTGGCTAAACATTGGAAATCCAAAACAACTCCTACTAGGGAAGAAATAAGTCTAAAATTGTTAAACCTAGCAGAAATGGACAAATTGAGCTTGTTAATTCAGGGAAAAGGAGAGGGTTGTTTTTTGAAAAGATGGTCGAGACTATATAAGTGGATAGACAATACTGTTAAAATTCAGACTCAAATGTAAATAATCAAGTACAGATAATGTGTGTGTATGTGTATACATATATAGATATAGATATATTTATATGGAAAACTCATAAATAAATGGGGGGGGAATGTAGCATGTATCGAACCATATTTACACGAAAGAAAGACAACCCCTCTCCCACAAATCTTATACCAAAAAAAAGTATTGATGTCGCTGCAATTTTTTAAAATTTTATAATGTTTATTGAAAAACAAAATCCATACAGACAGTTAAACCTATTAAGCATTATAGTGCCATGAGTTCAGATACAGTTACAATAGTGTATGCAACTAAAACAGTGATAGTGAGTACAACTAGAACAACCAGAAGTCCTTATCAGAATCATCACCTTATATCATTAATTTATGGCATCACCAAATTGAAAAGAAGAAGAGAGAAGAAGAGATTACTCAGACCTAAGAATATATCCTCAGATATCTATCCATTCTGTATAGCTGGGATGATGTTACTGCAATTTATATGTGAATTTAATATGATCCTCTCTTCTTTTTTAATTGTATATGTGGGGGTGGGACTTGTCTTTCATTTGAATATATACAGTAGCTGTAAATCTTCATTTATGTATATTCAGCATAAAATAAAGAAAATGTTAATCTCCATTTTTGGAACTCAGTGCTGTACAGTTTGGAATTTAAGCATCTGTGTAGTGATCATAAAATGCAGATATACTTGATATTATCTGTTTCTGTCACCTACAGCAGTAGTAGGTTTTTCACCATCAGTTGGCGCCTGTGTCTGACCAGCCAGCTGCACTTTACAGTGTGGTAGATTGCATCCTGCCTCTCAACTAAGGGTGACACTTTCCATCTAAACGTTAATGGGACGTGCCATGCTGTAATGGAATGTGTTGCTCTTAAGGAAAGTGGTGAGATACAACCCAGTGTGTGCCCTAATTCTTACAGATCATTCTTTTTTAATGCATCATCTGCTTTTGAGCCTGAATTCTCTTTAGGGTAATTTCAAATAGCATATTTCAGTGTTCTCAAACTAGGTCTTCAGTCAAGAATATGATAGGGTAACTTGTAAGCTTTTCAACTGGTACAGTTAACTTTCAATACAATGTTTAATCTCATTTGGGCATCTTCTAGATCTAAAAGTAATTTAATGATGACAGCTTGTCTTTTCAGGCCAAAAGTGGATATTCCACTAGATTTGAAACAAAGAAAGGAGTGTACATATTACTGCATGATGTATTCCTTAGAATAAATTGTAATGAAAATGTGCAGTTAACAGGGTCGCCAGTGATTAGGATTTGGATCCTGTCTCATTTGTCATGTAGGCTGTTTCACTCGCAGAGAAGAGGAGGGCTATTTTCATTAATTTCCCCCTCTCAGTGCAGCCCCCTACTTAAAATGCATGATGGTTCCTGGGGATCAACTCGTTAATGGAGGTACAATTGTATGGATATATAGAGACTTTGAAGGGAGGGTAAGAGTTCCTAGCCTAGATAGATGGTAGATGGATGAAATTGCAAAAATGGCTTTGAAATAGCAATGTTGGCTCTCATTAAAGCAAAGTTACCTGCATCAGCAATTCAGAATAAGAAGAGGTTAGTTTAGTTACTATATGATGAATGCCTAACCCTAACCCTAATCCACATATATTTAAAGATGAGAAGCAATCCTGATAATGCACATTTGTTTATCATAAGGTAATATCTCTCACTGTTTATTTTGTCATATTTAAGCTTCTGTATTATACAGTTTTTGCTAGTGAATATAAATGTAAAAGTCATGTATATTAGAATAATATGCAGACTTCTATTCCATATTTTTAGTTACCAGGAATAATATTCATGTAAAAAAGAGTAATTCCCAAAAAACTGAAATAACATTTCAGATAGAATGTTAATATTAGGGATTTAAAGGTATCATCACAATCACAATAAGCATGATTCTTTCCAGCTTTTTGTTTATTTTCAGCCATCATTTTTGCTTCCAAAACCTAAACTTGGACATAATCACTGTGTTGCAGCTAGACAGCAAATCAACTTTTAATCCACCATTTCTAATTATATTAACATTGCAGTGTGTCAAACTCCTGTTTTCTAGATATACGTAAGAGCACAATTTGAATATGACCCAGCAAAGGATGACCTCATTCCCTGCAAAGAAGCTGGAATCAGATTTAGAGTTGGTGATATTATCCAGATTATTAGCAAAGATGATCATAATTGGTGGCAGGGTAAACTAGAGAATTCAAAAAATGGAACTGCTGGCCTCATTCCTTCTCCTGAGCTTCAGGAATGGTAAGTTGTTCGTTCAGTAAAAATAATATAACTGTAATTGCAATATACAATGGATGTGTTAAAACTTACTTGGTATTTTAAACATTTTGCAAAAGCAGTGTTGAATTAGATTTCCTTGTCAGCAACTGGATTGGCAGTGCCAGTTTGACTTTGAATCCTGTGGTGATCACCATCTGATGTAAGAACTGTATGCACACGTACTCCTGGACTGTTGAGGCAGGCAGGACTAACTGTGATAGGGTTTCTGAAAAACCCAGGCAGGCAACTCCTATATGGTAGAGAAATATTCCCCCATTATCCTCCACTGTCAGCATTCCTCCAGGAAAGAAACTAATCACCAGTGTTCCCTCTAAGCTGAGTTAGTGTGAGCTCGCTCATGGTTTTTAGCCTCCAGCTCACACATTTTTGCCTTAGCTCTGGAAGGAGGGCTCCAAAGCAAACTAATTTATGCAGTAACCAAATCGCTTGCTCATAACTTTAATGCCCGTAGCTCACAAAGTAGACTTTTTGCTCACAAGACTCCACAGCTTAGAGGGAACATTGCTAATCACTACTAAAATTATTATAGTCTGTCCAAAAGAAATGAATGATTAACCATATTAAAAGCCACTGAAAAATCCAGGAATATATACAATGTGTTGTCTACATTGGTCCCCTTTAGGCATACTGACTACTAGAACTACTAAAGCCATCCCAAATATGAGCTGAAAGCCAGAATAATGAGAGGGAATTTGAGAGTCTTTCTCACTACCTTCCAAATAAAGAAGGAGCAGACACTGAATGGTATAATCTGTTGGTAACTTGAAAAACCACTGTCACCTCCTGAAGAAGTAGTATCATCCCCATGCTCCAAAATGGATAAATAATGCTCTCCAACAGCCTGTATGAGACCCCATCCACTTCCCTCCCTCAGAGGCAAGATTTTCCCTCCAGTTTTACTTGAGTGTCCCTTCATTGACTGAGCAGCCCTGGTAATGTGTAGTCTTCTCTTTAAAGAAGCTTTAGCAGTCGCACCCAATGTCAGTACTATGTAATGGCTATTTTCTCAGCCCATGACCTGAGGGAAGGGTTAGCATCTCCCTTTAATTTAAATGACAGAAAATGGCACTTGAGATGCTTTTTAAATTCAAAAATAACAGAAGGTTTTATTTAACATCAAGGGGAAAGGTTAGGTGAAGTCAGGGGTTGAAAATACTGAGGTAAAATAGTATAAGCACAAACTCTTATTCTTATAGAACAGGCTAGTGAAAGTTTCGTGAATTAATCACGGTTACTGTAGTTCTTTATTTTGAGAGGCTTTGGTTGCTGGTTTTTCCCAAACCAGTTCACTTTATTTGTATAATAGCATACTCTTTAGGTACCCAGAAGGCTGGTCCTGTATTCCCAGTACCCAAACCCCTTCTCTTGGAACACCAGAAATCTTCTTGAGTTGTTAACTGACTTTTAAGTCTCCACAAGCAATTTCTAATCACACTAGACCAGGGAATTTCTACTCCTTAGAGATAACTTTCCCTGTTTAACTAGGTAGGGATTCTTTTTCTCTCCCTAGAAGATATATCCCATATTCCTTTTGGCCTGAATGGGAGACTTCTTATTCTACCCAAACCTCCTTGCCAAACTTTTCCCCGGTTCTCTGTCTGTGTTAAGAACTGCCCTCAGCTAATGCTGAATTAAGACTATACTATGTCATGGGTGAATTCTGATTTTGTCAGCCCTGTGTCTGTCAGGGCTAGTTTAATATGATCTCAACACACATTTTGTCACAGTTAAGGCAGCAATCTGAATCTGTTCTCCATATCCAGCTCTCACAAGACTTTTTCTGTTCAGCTGATGCCAACCAATCAGATTTCCTGGAGTAGCCTGTCACTCAAGGCTCTCTGGCTCTGTGAAGAATTAACCCTTTACAGTCCTGTAGTTTTATGTACAGCACTTTTAAGCCTCTTCAAAAGTGCAGTCTGTCACAGCCCACCCAATCTAGGCATGGGGAAGGGTGCAATTCTTACCTAAACATGGGGACAGGAATGCAGTAAGCAGGCGGCTGCATGTATTTTCCTTAACATCCTATAGATTTCAAAGCATGAACCATGGCAGCTAGTTCACCTGGGAAAGACAGCTCCTTAACCACACTGCAGAGTTCCACCAGATGATATTACACAGGAAAAAATGGTGATAGAAAGAAGATTTTTCGCAGCCATCACTGGCATGGGCCTTCAGTTGTATTAAACTTGAGAACTTGCATTTATTGCACTCCACTTGCCTTCTGCATCACTTCAAGAATCTCAGCTTATTGGTATGGTGAGGATTAAGACCTTACCAACATGGGAATGTTTTCTGGTACAGTATTGACATTTTGAACCAATTATTCATTTCCTCAGAGAGTGAGTTTTAGTGTTGGTGAATAGGGATGGGCACAAACCAGCTAATGAACTAAAGTTTGTCACGAATTTTGGGCAGTTTGTGAAGCAATGTTCATGAACTGAAGAACCACCATGACCTTTCATGACTTTTGATGCAGTTTGTGGTGGTTCATGAAGAGCAGAAAGCAGGGGTTTAAATGGCTCTGAGCCAAGGGCTGTCTGCCCAAAAAAGCCACTTTAAACAGCTGAGCTGCGGGAGCAGTTTGCTCCACCTGGCTCAACTGTTTAGAGGGGCTTTCTTTGGCAGCACTGGCAGCCCTTTTAACCAGCTGAGCCACATGGAGCAAACTGGGACTGGTGGCCTAATAAAGCCCCTTTAAACAACTGACACAGGTGGAGCAGTTAGCTCTGCATGGATCAGCTGTTTAAAGGAGCTTTCTTGAGCAGCCAGCCCCAGGCTCAGAACCATTTAAACCCTTGCTTTCTGCTCCCCACATGAAGAAAAAAGAAGTGGTCTAAATGGCTCCCAGCCATTTAAACCAAACAGCTGAGTGGTAGGGAGTAAGATCCAGATATGAATCCTCTATCTGCCATGGAAGCTCACTGGCTGACTTTGGGCCAGTTACACACTTTCAGCCTTGTGAAGAAAGGTGGGGTATAAATGAAGTGAATAAAAAATGTAGCTGAAGATGGGGGTCAGATTTCTTTTTTTGTTTTGTAGGTGGGAAGGAGAGAGGGGAGCAAGGAAATGTGCAGCATTTTTTCTGGGAAGAGAAGAATGGGAAGCTGCAGAAATAGCACAGATAAAGGTAGATTGGCTAGTTGGGAAGGAGAGAAGGAAACAGGAAAAGGGGGAAGCTCTGGGTGCTTTCAGGGAAGGAACAGAAGAAATAGTGGAGATGGGGAAATATAATTCCCCCGCAAGTCCTTACAGGTGCCCTGCTTGTATTCTTTTGTATTTTAACACTGCTCTTTACAAAAAATACCTGACCTCTTCACAAAAAACAGCTGTTTTGTTTAAATGGCTGGGAGCTATTTAAGCTACTTCTTTTTGCTCCTCCTGTGGCTGGTTGCCTAAGAAAGCCCCTTTAAATAGCTGATCCACGCAGAGCAGTTTGCTCCACATAGCATTGCTGTTTAAAGGGGCTTTCTTGGGTTCAGCTCTAAACCATCTAAACAACTGCTGTCTGCTCTCCATGGCTTTCCGCGGAAAGCAATGGTTTAAAAGGTTCCAAGCCATTTAAACCAAACAGCTGAGCGGTGCTGCTCAGCTGTTTGGCTTAAATGGCTTGGAACCTTTTAAGCCACTGCTTTCTGCTCCTTGCCAAAAGCTGCGGGAAGCTGAAAGCAGGGGTCACAAACCCACACAAACTGGTTCAGTTTGCAAAGCAACCTAACGGTTTGTATAGGCTCGTTGTTTAGCCATGAACCAAACTGCAAAAATGCAGTTCATGCCCATCCCTATTAGCAAATACATACTCCAGAGAATTCTGGAAACTAATAGAATCCATCAATCTCTAGAGGAGGATCAACATAAATAATCCACCAGGCTTGCAGAGACAGCCTAAGATGCATCTAAGCAGGCCTTTTTAAGGTTGTGGTGTGCCCACAATAAATGCTATATCATTATTCCACTAATACCTTGATCACTAGGCCAGAGCAGAACATTAAATCTTGAGTGTGTCCTATCTGATTTGTATATATTTATTTCATTTGTATCCTACTTCTGAGGAGGTCAGATCATTTTAAGTATGGTTCTTTATCTAGACTGTACCATACTTGCTTAGCTTCAGAAGCAGAAATGCCTTATGTCTTTCCAACTGTGCCTGTAGTGCATTGGAGTAGATCAGTAGTTATCATAGCAGCCATGAAGAGCTGAGCTGGACCAGTTGAGATGGAAGATTTGAGATCAGGGAGTCTAGAGGTCATATGGTTTCACAACTTGCAGCCATCCCTGGGAAAATGCTGCCTTCTACCATTTTGCCCCAACTCCGGTGAGGAATTCCCAGGCCTCAGAACAAGAGGGAAGAAGGTTTTGCGCACCCTAGTCGTCCTTCTCTCTGCCAGGCAATCTCCACTGCACAGCAGAGGCTTCTGGCTCATGCTCCTCCTCGGCCTATTGACAAGAGTTCCCTTTCATAGTCCTCTCCTTCCTTTTTCCTTCCCCCTCCTCATTCCTAACGTACTTATTGGTCCTCTGGAACCCTCCCTCCTCCTGGCTACCTCTTCCTCCTTGTGGGTCAAGCCAGCCCTGCTGGGGAGAAGCCAGAAGAGGCTTCTGCCCATCTCTGCCCTGTTCTGACCTGCTGCTGGGCCTGCCCACGTTTCCTTCAGCGCTACTAACCCTGAAGTCTGGCCCAGCCCACTCCCAGGGATGGCAGCCCTTCTCTCCACTGAGCTCGCCTGGGAGCCTGCCATCACCAGCAAGCCAGGCATGAGAGGATCCCTTTGGAGCACCTTCTCTGTGTGCTCCACCCAGAGCTTCTCCACTTGTGACAGAGAGCGCAGGGCCTCCTGTGCTGTGCTCTCCCCTGGGGCTTTGGATGCTTTCGGCCGTGTCAAAGTTGCTGCAGCCTCTGCCAGGAAGGATCCCAGGGCAGTGGGCCCAACTGCCTCTGTTTGGCCTGAGTTTGCCACCGCCACCCCCGTTGTGGCCCCTGCCTCTCCCTGAGGTATGGGTAAGTTTACTTCATGAGGAAGAAGTTCAGGGTTTGGGCCTTTGCCCAGGAGGGGTTTGTAGCTGACCTGAGTCCACTGCCCCATGAGAAGAGGCATCCCCAACATCAGACAGTGGTAAAAGCACCAAAAGAATCTGACTTTCTCTGGGCCCATCTTGGGTACATCTAACAAAAATTATATTGGCCATCCCGTTAAGAAAACTGAAATGTCTTTACATTTTCTCAAGATTGGCAGTGATTTCTGCCAATTACCCTTCCCATTAGATCCTCCCATTTTGTTCCTGGGAATCAAGAGACCCTCAGGAACTTTATTGGGAGTCTGTAGTGAGAAGGGGGAAATTGGCACAAATCATTACCCCTCTTAAAATGTAACCCTTCATTAGAATCTTGGAATATGTTTGGATACCAGCTATGGTCTGTTGTGGATATCTACAAAAGAAAAAAAGTATCCCTGTGTGCATCACAGACCACCCCCCTTCCAATTCCAAATTGTAGCATATGTTGCACTGAATACCCATGTGGAGTAAAGAGCACCAATGGAAGTTGAATAATAGCACCCATCCAGTTTTGGGTGACCCACACCCAGTCAGAACCTTCCTCAATTAAATTATGGAGGACACACAAGTTAGGCTAAATTCTCACATTGCCCTTCCGTGAACCAAGGGAATGAATGTATAGATGAGAATTCTACTTATCCTGTTTGGAATTCTGAGAAAGGGGATGTCCATTCACTTCTGGCAAGAACATTTATCAGCACCTTGTCAACAAAAGACACCGAGGAGTAGCATACCTCCCACTTGCCACATTCTCTGAGGGAAAAAATGTTACTGCCACACACACTGCAACCTTAATCTGCCTCAAAAGCTGCAACTATCTTTTTCAGTCAGCAGTTTTCTGTTTGTGGTGGCTGCTGTTGGAGTATACAGAGTTCTTTAAAATACAGCTGTTTAACATCCTAATTTGAAACCCTGGAAATTAATTTTAACCCTAGAGATTAAAATAAAGTGAGTCTACCACATTTTGGTTTTTAAAAAGGACTAATTGGTATTTGTAATTGCAAATTCAAGAGGATTCTAATATGTCCACAATAACAATCTGATAGTTGTTTCCTCTTCACTTGCAAGGCGGGTAGCTTGTATTGCTATGGAGAAGACAAAACAGGAGCAACAGGCAAGCTGTACTTGGTTTGGAAAGAAAAAGAAGCAGTACAAAGACAAATACTTAGCAAAGCACAATGCAGGTGAGAACAATATAATGCACTTGTAAGCTTATTTAAGACTGCTGCCTTGTTTGTTATCTAACAGTAAACCTTCAGCTTAATCACTGGCACTCAGTGTAAACACCTAAAAATGTGTTATGTTCAAAAATAATAGCAGAAGAAAACATAGGCAGTAGCAAGATGTATTTTGAGGTGAATGTAGGAAAGATTCTCTTGCATCTGGGGCAAAATTTTCAGGGAGGAGAGCATGGTGATCCAAGACTTTTATAGTAATATTTTGGCAGTTCCATAAGTATTTTCATAAATGTGATACAGTTGAATTTTCAGAAAATAAAGTTACAACCTAGTTTAACATGGTGCATCTCCCACAGGTTAACTGATATAATTCCATCACAGTGAGCAAAATCATCTAACATGATTTGACATACATTTATCCAGTCCAGAATTTTATTGTCACGGTTTCAAATTCTGGAGCTGGAGCAAAGTATACACTTTGTTATATATCTGACTGTCTTGATTACTGCTTCAGCATGAGATTTATTATTATGAACAGCTTCCAGATGGAATTTGACAAATATATAAAGGCTGGAGCAGGCAGGGGGAAAAACCAAGGCAAGCAAGCCCCACCCCCCAAGCAACAGCAACCAGCAGAAGCTGTTCATGCCAGCCACCACCAACACCTCCTGTAACAGTGAATTCCATGTGTTAATCACTGTTTGGGTGAAGAAGTACTTCCTTTCATCTGTTCTAACTTCTAACCTGACTGCTCCGCAATTTCATTTGAGTGCCCACGAGTTCTTGTCTTCTGAGAAAGGGTGAAGTACTTCTTTCTCTACCTGCTCTATCCCATGCATAGCCTTGTAAACCTCTTATCATGTCACCCCTCAGTCATTGTTTCTCAAAGCTAAGATCCCCAAGCGCCTTAACCTTTCTTCATAGGGAAAGTGTCCTCCTCTTATCATTGCAGTTGCCCTTTTCTGCATTTATTTCCAGTGCTATAAATATTCTTTTTGAGATGTGTGTGGTGTGAGTGGTCCAGTGAGGTTGCACCATCAATTTATACAGGGCAGGGCCTGTATAAATGTTGCTCCTGTTGGTCTTTTGGGGTTTCTGTGTGGCACTGTGGCATGCTTGCACTGCCACAGTGCCACTTGTTCTGGAGTGTGCCACTCGTTCTTATGGCAAACAAGCACCTCCCAAGACAGTTCACTTTCCCTGAGATTCTCTGGGAGAGTCTTGACTGCTGGGTGCTGCCTGCTTGCCTGCCTTAAGTGCTGCTGGCTGGGTTTCCCCATTGGAAACAATGGAAGTAATGGGGGTAACCTGTTTGGGTGCCCATAGAATTGGGCCCACTGGTCGAATTGCTTTGGGACATGGGAGTTGATGTGGGGAGAGGCTCCCGAAGCTACCCTGAAAATTTGGAGCCTCTCCCTCAAACTCCCTCCTCCTCAGGGCCACTAACAGCACCGTGGGGGGAAAGTAACTTTCCCCCCACCGTAGAGAACAACAAGGGGCGGCACCCGCGATACTCGCGGGGGGGAGGTCCACACCTATGAGGAAGAGGAGGAACCAGGAGGAGGAGGTAAGTTCCCCCCCATCCCGCCGGTTCTTCCCCCGTCTCCTCCACCCCCCCGCTCGGGCCTCACTGCCCCCCCGGCTCTGAAGCAGCAACGAGGCCGGGTGCAGAGCATTCCCTGCGCATGCGCAGGGGACGCTCTGTCACTTTTGGGGGATTTAAGTATCCCCCCGATATTTTTTTACAGGTTTCAGATTTTTGTGCACACCTGGGGACTGCCCCAAATGTGCACAAACATCTCCCTCCCCCCCAGGTGACCCCGATGTGCGGAAATAAGTATCCGCACGCAGGGGGCGACTTCGGTATTAGATATATAGATGGAGGAGATGGGGGCAATCTGTTTGGGGACCCGTAGAATTGAACCCCCTGGTCCAATGTTCTTGAAACTTAGTGGGTATCTTGGGGAGAGGATCCAGCAGCTACCCTATGAGTTTGGAGCCTCTCCCTCAAGCCCCCTCCCCTCCAGCCCCCAGAATATACCCTATGTTTTCGCCATTGACTTCAATGGCCCATAGGATACAATGGGACTGAAATTTCGGCTGCAAGCCGATTCAGATCAGAGAATCTGAATCAGCCCGAAAGGGGCCCGAATGAGCCATTTTCAGGGGTGCATTTGGTTTGGACGAACCGAATGCACATCCCTAATTCACCCTTTGTGCTGCTCTTAAGTGTTCCCAGCACCCCAACCAGCTGAGAAACTTGTTGGGCTGCCAGCACAAGAGGGGAAGCAGGAAAGTTCTGTTCTGCTGAGAGAAATACCTTCTGTTAATGGAAACTGACCCGTGGGTCCAGCTTCATACTTTTTTGCAATTGGTATTTTATCAGCTGTATTAAACACAGCAATAGACATTTAATAATAATTGAATAGTCTTTAAAAATCAATTTGTATTTAAAATACCGTATAGTACAGCACTATGTAATATAATAGTATTGTAACACTTAATTCCTCTGGTGTCTAATCCTTGTAACCACACTGTTGCATTCATTTGCAAATTACATGTATTTTGTCCCTCTGACTCCTAATTAGCCCCCTGTCTCCTAGCCATTATGCACTGTATTAGCTCTCAGTATAAAGCAGAATAATCAACCTCAAAGTGGACTGTTCCCAATATAATTCATGCTTGTAAAGATACCATTAGTGCATGTTAATTTGAGGCATGGACCTTGTAATGAAGAATATTGCATTTTTTCCAAAGGAGACCAGAATGTTCGTTGCATTATATAATTAGAGGATTTGCAAATAATGTCCTTTAGTGAAGCAGGTTTCATTTCCTTGAAAAACGCTTTCACCTTAAAAAAACTTTTTTAACACAGGAACTGACAGAGTCCAAGCTATCTTTTTTTTAAAAACAAGAAGTAAAATTTAAATTGCAGATTATTCAAATAACAAGGATAAAGTCCAGCCCAAATTATGTACTTTAAATCCCATAAATTTAACCTGAAAAGGTTTAAGTACAGTTTCCCCACTGAAATTGGAGTAAGTTTAACCTGTACTGGGTTATTTTGTTTTCATATTTGTTGGGGGATCTGTCATAATTTCTGGCCTTATATGAAGGATATTTATGAATTTATCATTCTATTAAAATGTCCAAATGTTGATACATGGCAAAATAGGAATCAGATATTTCCTAGTAACTGAATTCAAGGGGGGAAATTTTATAACATTTTACAACTTACAAAAAATGTAGGTAGCCCGTGCTGATCAATTAGAAAATAATCCAAAACGTGGTAATACTACAGTACAGTACTTTTTTATTAGAACAATTAAAATATCAAGTCGTGAGCAGCTTTCAGATTTCTCGAAAGTTTTCTTCAGGTTAAATGATCAGTAAAAACACACAAACCGGGGGGGGGGGTATTCAGGGCATGATGGAAACGCTTCATAGTCCATAACTTGATTCCGTATGAGTCGCCAAAATAAAACAGCAGACCAATAGCACCCTTAATGCTGTAGTAAATTTTGTTAATCTTTGAGGTGCCACTGTACCCTTGTTTTATTTAGTCTGTTGTTTGTTCAGTCGCACAGTCGAGTCCAACTCTTCGCGACCCCATGGTCTAATTGCATAGTCTGTAGCTTGTAACAATTTAGGGAGGGGGAAGACTTAATTAGACTAGGCCATACTAGAGCAAAAGAAATTGGGGGTTACACCCAAGTGTTATCATGACCTAGAAGTAACAATAGTGTTTCTCTTTGAAAATATTAAAGCCTGCAACTTGGATTTCTGGCACAAATCAGAATGCATGGCTCTTTTATAAGACAAGAGCAGAAGTAAAGCAAACTGTAGTAGTCCTCATCTTGACCAAATTAGAGGTTCGCTTTTGATGGTACATTAGGTATTGTGACTTTTTAATTGATCCTAACAAAAGGTACTTTTGGATGTTACAACTAGGATTCCTAAGCCTGTGTCATTGCCTTACCTTAGTTTTGTGCTGTGGCTAACTGAGAGGATGTTTATTGTATTTAAACATGGAGAATGGTTCCATTCCTACAACAATTGTGTGCCAAAGGAGATTTGGGAACAGCCTAGTTCAGTAAAGGAGCCTTCCCAAAGACAAGTAGAGGGAGCTAATTCTACTGAAATCTGGCGATGGTAGTCTATCTACAGCACTGCAGCCATTCTCTGAGGGCACTTGGTCATGAGCTTTGAGGTAGGGGTAATTAAGTGGTGTTTTAACAGTCAAAACTCCTGGCATACAGAACAGCCACTAAAACTACTCCCCCAGCTACTCCCTTTTTAAATCCTTCATACCCCGTTGTTCCACCTCTTCCTATCAATAGCCAGCCCTTTCACAGTCAAACGGCTCAATGCACATTGAGGAAAAGAGGATGCATGCTATTGCCTTCTTGATTATCGAATTATCAAAACCTTACTATAAATGGAGATCATTACTCTCCATGTGTCCTTGTGCACCCATTACGTTTTACTGGTTATCACATTTGAGACATCTCTTCACCGAGGGTTGCTTGCTTTCATGGGACAGGTACCCTGATATAGGAGGCATCATCTTTGACAGTTTGTAGAAAGCACTGTGAAGCCATGCTGTCTGTGTGTGCATTCAGCAGGACTTGAGCTGCAGGAATAGGGTTTTCTATGGAGTATTGTTAAGAATGGTTTATTTTATGGTTTTAGTACAACAAATTGTAAGCCTCATAGGGAAAGGCAGGATGTAAATGTTATAATAAAATAAACAAAGTAGATAACAAATGAAAGCATTCTCTAAAATGAACTAAATCTGTACTTTAATCCAATATAGTTAAGTTTGTCCCATTTCTCTTTACAATGGATAATGAATTGCCAGTATTTCTTGGTTTCTACCAAATATTACTGCTACTTGATTTTTATTTCTGCTCTAATTATTTCAGAACTGGTAACCTTAAGGCTCCATTTCCCCAAAAGTCTGTTTTAAGTCCACGTCTATTACTAACCTATGCTACAGATATTACTTTTCATTATTTTTTAAATTTTGAAATAAATTGTCAAGGCATATTGCAGTCTGTTTAAATATATAATTATAAACCTTCTACCGTTATTATTGTGAGTTCTTCGAATACTATACCTTTTATATGAAATTATGCTTCCTTTAATGCTAGTAATTGCTACATAGACCAGATCAAGCTTTTCTAAAACATGCTTATCATTTAATGTGATTTATTTGCCTTGTGTTTAGAATATTGCATGATGAAAGTTTATTTTGTGCATATATTTTTTATTTTACTAATATATTACAAGCCATATTTCAATGACCCCTGTACATTTTTCATGCTGTCTTAATCCCAATGGCCTCTGTGCATGTAAGTAACCTGTCAAGTGACAATGCCTCTTTATTTGCTTCTTACTGTTTCCTTTCAATAATTCCTTTTCTTTGTTGGCTAGAAATATAGAAGTGTTTGAAATTTCAGTCTCTAAATGTGTCCATGTACTCCTCTAATCTTGTGTACAATTTGTTTTTTCATTTCTGTTTGGAAACTCTGAAATCACTAGTGGTCACATGTAGAATACAGTGAATGTTTGATTCCACTAATTTTGCAATGGCCTCTTCACATTAGGGTTTCCTCCAGTGGTGGTGTATTCAGGGTTGGGCTGGAAATTGCTATACAGCTTAAGTTTTCATGTTGTTTTCACCCAGAACAATATATTTAAGTCTGTTTTTAGTAAACTGGAACATAGCTAGACAGCACTTTGTATTTTTTGAATAACATTTGGGATGTATAAATTAATAACCTATGATAAAATATCCTGAATTTCTCTGGATGTATTTTTAATCCAAAATGTTCAGTTTATATTATCAACAAGGTGAAGTAGTTCAGGGGTCCCTAACCTTTTGTGTCTGCGAGCACTTTTGGAATTTTGAGAAGGTGTGGCGAGGCACTACCCCAAAATGGCTGCCACAGTAGTTAAGGCCAAAGGCAATACGTCCTTCCTCACTTCACAGAATAATTGCAAAAGGGCAATGAAAATAAATGAAGGGAAGCCCAGGAAAAAGAAAAGAGAAAGAGAAGAAAAATAAAAAGAAGGGAAGCCTGTAGAGGGAATGGAACCAAAGCCTGGATGCTTACTAGTCTGCCTGAGCCTCCAGTGGCTTCTGCTGCTATTGTATCCATTAAAAACCTTTTCATTTCAATGAGGGCAACCAGTAACACGCCCTGCCTTGTAAAGGCCCTGCCCACTTTCTTAAAAGCTCAGCAGGCAGAAGGAGACGTACTGGTGGGCACCATGATGCCTACTGGCACCACACTGGGGAACCCTGATGTAGCTGTTGTATGGTTTTATTTTATATGCAGAACATTTTCCAACATCATGTACCAGCAGACAAGATTTTCTAGACTGTTCTGCACCACATCAAAAATATCATGCCAGCAATTTCAGAGAGATACATCTGAACTCATTTCTTTAGGATGGGGGTCCCAAAATGTTTTGAGCCTGAGAGCTCCTTTGAAATTTTGACACAATATGATGGGCACAGCAACAAAATAGCTGACATAAAATGACTGCCTCAGGAGGTGGAGCCAGTCATTAAATGATTGCCGCGGCTTACCTTCAGTCACACAGAGAAGTTCTTTGTATTGTGGTGACAGCTGCTGCCAAAGCAACATTTTTTAAAAATCTGCACAGCCAGTAAAATCTCCAATGGCCAATCAGAAGCCTTGCTAGGTAAAAGCCTCACCTGGCCCCATCCACATTCTAAAAGCACTTCTAGAGCACCAGGAAAGGTTTTGGTGTGCACCATGGCACGTATGGGCACCATGAAGGGGACCCTTGATTTAGAACAGTATTTAGGGGTATGCAATTTTTCTCTCGATATTTTTCAGTTTGAGTTTATTGGAGCCGGGGGGAAATGAGATTCCCAGGAAAACCCAGAACCTGATACCAATAAAGTATTCAGATCTGGGATTTTTCAGAAATCCTGGATTTTTTCGTGTCCAATAAACCAAAGAAGGAAAAAAGCAGCAACAAAACCACAAAAAACAGATGATGGGCAGCTCAGCTGGGGCTCTTTTGGACAGTCCAGTTTAAAGGGACTGCCCAAGAGAGCCCACAAAGCAGATGAGCTCCTGAGGAGAACCTCCCCACTAGGTCAGCTGGGGATTTCAGGATTTCTTTCCTGCAGTCCCTTTAAACCAGACTGCCCCAGAGAGCCCTCTAAAGAACCCCAGTTGAGTCAGTGGGGAGAGTCTCTGCAGGCTCAGCTGCCTCACAAGCTCTCTTGGGCAGTCTCTTTAAACTGGACTGCCCAAGAGAGCCTCAGCTGAGCCCAGCAGGGAGAGTGCTTCCCCCCCAGCTGTTTTGCAGGCTGTCTCCTGCAGTCCCTTTTAAATGCTCCCTGTTTAAAGGGACTGCAGAAGAAATCCCAAGAAGCAGCTGACCAGCAGGACCAATCAATCTCCTCCAACCACTCATCTGTTTTTTTGAGATTTGCCAGTAATCCCCGAATATATCTGGGATTTTTTTCAGGATTTTTTTCCAGTTCTCCTGAAAAATCCTGGATACCTTTGGGATACCGAAATATACCTGAAAAATATCAATAAGGTATTTTGGGGAACATTTTCAAATCAGGTCGATCTGAATGCACACCCCTAGCCATGATTGCTGAAGAATCTTCTTTCTTTTTTGAAAGCATGCGAAATCATATGGGTGATGTTTGGAACTTCTTTGCTGTTGCACCATTACAATTATATGTTGAAAGATGCCCTTTTGTCAGTTACAGGGGGATTTTTCTGTAGGGTTTGTTGTACCAACAACAACAAAATTTCATTGTTGGAAACAAGAAAGAACAGAGCAGTTTTTAAAATTATTTGCAGTATCGTGACAATTGACGTTGGATTGTAGTACTGCAAGTAAGCATAAGGACAGTTGACAAATCATTGCTGGGGTCATATTTTATTAAATGCTTCTATTACACTGAAGGCATTGTAGTTTCCAGTGTAGCCATCCTCTTTGTTCTAGATCTTCATTCGCTGTCAACATTTTAAAGAGCATGTTAATATAAAATTAGCACTTCTGTGTAAAGAGAACTCTACTTACAATTAATCAGATAGATTTATGTGGAAGAGTGTCTGAATGTAGCTGAAAGAATAAAGTAATAAAATTAAGCTTTTAGTTTTCTATTCATTTTGAGAAAATATCTAAATTTACTGTTTATAGTAAGTAGATGTTCTCATATTTGTATTCATCTGTGACTGTCTATAAATTTTATTGCTCACTTTCAGGGATCCCAGCACTTTCAGAAGTTGTAATTATTTGTAATCTCTATACTGCATGGTTCCAACCACAGTTTTTTAAGCATGTAATTTGAATTTTTCTTGATCTAACTGTTCTTGTGAAGTATCTTGTGTTAGTAAAAATGTAAGAAGAAAATGTTTTGTTATAATAGTTTAGTTATAGCATTTTGATGCAAATATAATGATCATAAAATCAAATATGGTGTTAGTGGGAAATAAGCATGATTCAGTATTTTTTTCTTATTTCTGATTTTTATTTTCTGTTGCAGTGTTTGATCAATTAGATCTTGTCACATATGAAGAAGTAATAAAATTGCCAGCATTCAAAAGGAAAACACTAGTGTTACTAGGTAATTTTTTGAATATGACTTTTGTTCTATAATTATAACAGTGTATTATTGAACCTCAGTGATCATTTTAAATTTGTTTCCTATAGGAGCACATGGTGTTGGGAGAAGACATATAAAAAATACACTGATCACAAAACACCCAGACAGATTTGCATATCCTATTCCACGTAAGTAATATGCTAAGTTTGGTAGGTGGTTGAACATTAAGTATTGTGAGGTACCTAATTTATTACTATATAAACCCAAATTAGAAGGGAGCACTCACTGGAGAAGACCCTGATGTTGGGAAAGATTGAAGATAACAGAAGAAGGGGACGGCAAAGGATGAGATGGTTAGACAGCGTTACAGATGCAATGAACATGAAATTGCGCAAACTCCAGAGGACAGCGAAAGACAGGAGGTCCTGGCATGATGTGGTCCATGGGGTCGCGAAGAGTCGGACTTGACTGTGCAAATGAACAACAACAAAAACCCAGTCCCCAAAAGAGAGTGCATCAGTAAATCTGTTAGTCTTTAAAATGTTACAAGACACTTGTGTTCATTTTCCTGCCACAGACTATTAGTATCCTATGCCATCTTGCTCCTCATAGGATTGCATTGTATCACAGATACCTCACTGGAACACATAGCAGTTTTAATTTGATAAACATCAAGCATATAGGGTTAAATCCAAAGATGTTTTTGGATAGGGGAGGGGGAGTTTTTACCAAATAATCCTTCCTGCTGCAACTCCCACTCCCCCCTCCTGTGCTATTTGTGAGGGTTCCGTGTCCTCCAGGTGCAGCATTTTCGAGATCTCAGAGGACTACTATGGAAAGGGGGATAAATAAAAGTTCTGTAATGCTTGTAGAAGTAGGGAAGGGAGGGGGAGGGACTGTTGCCCAGTGGTTATAGCATTTGTTTGGCATGCAATGTCCCAAAACAAACTTCAGTTCCAACACCTTCTATAGGTGATAGAATTTCTCCATTTGCAGTGATGAATAATGCATTAGTCCCATGCACCCACCTTGGTGATGGAATTCAGAGTTCTGTTGCCAGATCTACTCCAAACTTCATATACACTTTTTCCTTCCTCCTGCTCCACCCCTCAGCAAAATATAATGGAGACGAGATAGCATACCTTTAAGATAGTTTGAGTATAGTTACAGTAGAAGAAGAAGAAGAGATTGGATTTATACCCCGCCCTTCACTACCCAAAGGTGTCTCAGAGCGGCTTACAAACTCCTTTCCCTTCCCCTCCCCACAACAGACACCCTGTGAGGTGGGTGGGGCTGAGAGAACTCTGACACAAACTGTTCTTTCAGGAACAGCTGTGCCAGAGCTTGTGACTGACCCAAGGTCACATCAGGAGGTGCAAGTGGAGGAGTGGGGAATCAAACCCGGTTCTCCCAGATTAGAGTCCACACACTTAGCCACTACACCAAACTACACTACACCAAACAAAAACAATTAGTTTTTAAAACAATCTTTTGAAGAGACTTTCAGAAGGTTTCTTTCAAGAAGGAAAAAATCTGCAGTTTCAAGGTATGAATACCAAACTGAATTAAATAATGATAAACTTTGCAAAGATCATATATTTTGATAGCTAAGTTGGCCACACCTGAAGATACTTAAATCTGGAGACTGGGCCCATGAACACACAAGATAGATCTTTTTGCAAAGCTGAAAAATACCCCAGATTTGCAAAAAAATCTGAAATATGAAAACAAAAATTACATTAGGGTTTAAAACAAAAAGATAAAGGAAGCACCTGTAGCTTTAAGAAACAGAAGCCCTCAGTGGCCTTTGCTAGGCAACCACAGCATTTTAGGCTTGATTTCTGTTAGTAAAAGGGAGGTGGGGGGCAGGGCCCTTTACAGGGGTGTTTTGGCCTTTGAGGAAGGACTTGTTGAGCCAGACCTGGCAGCAACTTTCAGGCTACCTGCTACTACTTAATTTTCATGATTCACCTAGGTATGGTTGCTTATTATTGTTCAACAGCATAAAGAAGAAATAGTGGTGGAAGGGGAAATGAGTCCCCCCCCAGTCCTTGCAGGTTTCTATTTGTACATATCTAAAGATTAAAGTAATACTCTACAATGTTTACTCCTGGATGACTTTTTCATCAGTATACAGCCTTTTAAAAACCACAACAGTGTATTTATGCATTGGCTGGGGTGTCGAAACAAGAGAAATCAAGTTTAATCACATTAAACCTTTGACGTTTACTCTTGTAATTACAGATACAACCAGACCACCAAAGAAAGATGAAGAGAATGGGAAGAATTATTACTTTGTATCACATGACCAAATGATGCAGGACATTTCCAACAATGAATATTTGGAATATGGTAGCCATGAGGATGCAATGTATGGGACAAAACTGGAAACGATACGGAAGATCCATGAACAGGGATTAATTGCAATACTTGATGTAGAACCGCAGGTAGATATAGAAATAACATGCAAATTTCATTACAAGTAACTAACTTTCTCTTATACGAAAATGGCTGATATTTAACAATGTTGATAAAAGGATTTCTTAAAGGATTGGTGTTGTTTCTTTAAAACTAAAGGATATTTGAACATAAAATTTTCCACTTAATATGAATGAGACTGGTAGAGCTAAGTAATGAATACCATTATGCATTCCAACACAGATGCATGGTGAAAAACTTAATTTTGAAAAATTTAGATGCAATTTTATTTTATTTTTTAAATGTTCCTGGCCTTTAAGTTTGTAGTGGCATTGATAAGCATACAACCATTCATCTCAATCTAGCAGTAGCCTGTAGGCTTGGGAAGCAGTTCCCCTGTTGGCAACTGAAGAATTTTCATTTCAATAAATTAATCTGCACATGCAGTGTGTAAATTTGGGCCATGGTTCTGCCACTTCTGTTGAAGGATTGCTCTGAGAACCAGTTTGGTGTAGTGGTCAAGTGTGCGGACTCTAATCTGGGAGAACTGGGTTTGATTCCCCACTCTTCCACTTGCACCTGCTGGATGACCTTGGACAAGCCATAGTTCTGATAACAGCTGTCCTTGAAAAAGAGCAGTTTCTGTCAGAGCTCTCTCAGCCCCACCTACCTCACAGGGTGTCTGTTGTGGGGAGGGGAAGGGAAAGGAGTTTGTAAGCTGCTCTGAGAATCCCTTGGGTAGTGAAGGGCAGGGTATAAATCCAATCTCCTCCTCTTCTTCTTCTTCTGAGATGGGAGAACAAGAAAGCAGAGGCAGATCAGCATGAAACGATTGCTTGCCCTGTATGTATGTGCTTGGGGGAGGTTTGTTGGGGCATGCAGGAATCCCAATGTGTATATGTCTGTGTGCATGCATGTGCACACAAACACACAAGTGAAGGAACCCATGAAGATCATAGGGAGGATTGTATTTTTCCCTGTATCCTCTACACTGTTCTCCCTTTGGCAGCCCCCATAGCTGCTCCCTTTCCCTTCTTTCTCCTCACTCTCTTTTAGGGTTGCCAAGTCCTTACCGTAGGTGTAGCGGGGGACTCCAGCGCTGCTCTGGGAGTTTATGCGTGCACGCAAAGCGCACGCGCGCCGCGATTACGTCACCCAGAAGGGACGCAACCATGTCGGGCATGCCGGGGGCGGGGCCACAATCATCCGAGGGAAAACCATAGAGTTTTCCCTCGGATGACCACAGGCCCGCGCCCGATGCGACTGCGTCACGTCCGGGTGACGTGCTGACACTGGGCACGTCGCGTACTTTGGGGGTGGGGTTCCCCCCAGGGCCCGATCCCGGGCACGTCGCGTGCTTTGGGGGTGGGGTTCCCCCCCGGGGCCCAATCCGCCGGCGGCAGGTAATGGGCCTCTCGGGCGGGGGTTTCCCGGCCCCCCGGGGGGACGTGGCAAGCCTACCCTCTATCCCACCAACCAACCTAACTTTATCTGCCCCTCCACTAGTCTTCAGCTTTCCATCCTTCCACCTGGCAGCTTCTTTCCTTTTCTTCTGTTCCATGCACCTAGCTGCATTTTTCTGTTCTCCCCCACTGCAGCTTCTCTTTCTCTCCCCTTTCCCTGCTTCCTTCCTTACTTTCCATCTTTTACCCTCTTCAGTCTCCCCACACACAGACAGCTGACTGAAATCAGGCCTTGGAAGCAGGGCCAGTTCCAGGTTTTAGTAGGCCGTGAGTGAGAGGGTATAACTGGGGCCCCTTTCCTACTTCGAGTCCCTGTTGGGAAATAAGACAGGGTAGAAATGAAATAAATAAACATCTCAAAAGAACCCTGAGAGGTAGGTTAGAAAAAGCTATATTGACTTGGTCAAAGTTACACAGTGAGGCTAGATTAAAGCTGGATTTTTGAATTTTGAAAACCTAGCCTCAAAAGTCCATGTCTAGCACCATCATCAACTGGTTCTTACTAATCACTTTACAATTCCTGTATAGCACATGCAGTAGGTGAACCAGTGCAAAGGCTGCTAATTACTGGACAGTGCTTTGTTACAACATGGAAAAGGGTGTGATTGCATGGTGTTTTGTTCACTCTTAGAATGTAAAAATTAGTTCCCATGGGCCATGCTAGTTCATTAAAAAATAAACAGAAGCAATAGAAAAATGCCCAATTTATTAGAACTAAAACATTAATTTCTTCAGGATTTGATCATAGATCTGCAATACAAAATTATCTCAGAATGTAATCTGGGGGGGTACAAATTTTGGAGCTGCACCAAGTAGAAGAAGAAGAAGAAGAGATTGGATTTATACCCCGCCCTTCACTACCCAAAGGTGTCTCAGAGCGGCTTACAAACTCCTTTCCCTTCCCCTCCCCACAACAGACACCCTGTGAGGTGGGTGGGGCTGAGAGAACTCTGACACAAACTGCTCTTTTTCAAGGACAGCTGTGCCAGAGCTTGTGACTGACCCAAGGTCACATCAGCAGGTGCAAGTGGAGGAGTGGGGAATCAAACCCGGTTCTCCCAGATTAGAGTCCGCGCACTTAACCACTACACCAAACTGGCCGTCTCTTTTACTACTCAGTAGCACTGAGCCATCTCAGCGCTTTGTCAGCTTTTAAGGTATAGGCAGAGGTACCTGAATTCCTAGTCTTTACCAGCACAAGGCTGAACATGCCAGGTACCAGAGTGGAATGACAGTCCCTGGGAGTAGCAGAAGTTCTCCGGGACTTGAATGACAGGTCCCAGAGTGGAGTGAAGGCCTCTGGGAGTAGCAAAAGTGTTCTGGGACTGGAATGACAGGTTCCAGAGTAAATGATGGCCCCTGGGAGTAGGAGAACTGTTTTGGGCCTGGATTGACAGCTCCTGGGAGTAGTAAAAGTGTTCTGGGACTGAAGTTACTGGTCTAAGGGTCATTGGGGGTGGCCATTCCCTCCCTGCTGGGGCAATGAGCATATTTATGCTTGCTCAAGGAGACTAATGGATCCTGATGGTTTCCAAAATGCTCTGCAGAATTTATCTGAACCTGCCGGCAGTTCCATCAGTGAGCTGACTAAGATTTGGAATAGAGGTCTTCAGGAAGCTATTGATCAGATGGCTCCCTGATGCCCTCTACGCCTTCATGTCTCTGTGGCTCCTTGGCATAATGAGAGTCCAAGAGATTTTAAGAGGCTGTTCAGACAGCTAAAAATGAATTGGTGACGAATACAGGATGGAGCTGTGAGGACACACTATAGAGCCCAGTTGAAGGCCTATTGAGGTGGCAGTGAAAGCAGCAAAAAGAGATTATTTTGCAGCCTCCATTGCATCCACTAGCTCGCAACCAGCTCAGTTATTCAGATTGGTTTGACAATTAACCTCCCCTTTGGTGTGTCCTTAAACTAATACTGATTTGGCTCTCAGCTGTGATTCATTTGCGAACTCTTTTGCGGATGAAGTCTCTAAGCTCCACCTGGAATTGGCTTCTGAATTTGATAACAGTAGTGGGATGGGGGCTCCACTTGCAATGGCTGGTTCTTTTTTTAACGCTTTTGGCCTGCTCACCCCAGCAGATGTTGACATGATCCTGACAGCTGTGAAGCCAACTACTTGCTCCTTGAATCCTTGTCCCTTGTGGCTGGTAAAATCATTCCACAAAGTGGAATGAGACAGATTATTAATTTATCTCTCACAGGGCTGTTTCCCCAGCTCCCTTAAGGAGGCGATTGTTAGACTTTTGCTAAAGAAACCCTCCTTGGATAAAAAGGAGCTGGCCAATTACCACTCAGTGTCTAATCTACCTTTTCTGGGGAAGGTAGTTGAGCGAGCAGTGGCCGAGCAGCACCAGGTTTTCCTGGATGAGACATATGCCCTGGACCCTTTTCAGTCAGACTTTAGGCCTGGCTTTGGGACCAAGACATCTCTGGTCTCTTTGGTTGAAGATCTCTGTCTACAGCTGGATAAAGGCATGCTGGCCCAGTTGATCCTTCTGGATCTACCAGCGGCCTTCAATAAGGTTGACCATTTGGTCCTGATTGGACCATTTGGTCCCTGGGGGTAAGGGTCACTGCCCTTAGTTGGTTCTCCTTCTTCCTCCAGGGATGCTTTCAGAGGGTTGCTATCAGGGAGGAGAGGTCTCCTGACAAGACCCAAATTGTGGGGTCCCACAGGGTTCAGTCCTCTCTCCGATGTCACTTAACATATAAATGCATCTTCTTGCCAAGGTCATCAGGAGGTTTGAAGTTGAGCTCTTCCTCCTGCTGGATAAGCAACTGGAGGCAGGGCTCTCAGCACTATCCCAGTGACTGGATGTGGTAGTTCAATGGTTAAGGGGGAGCTGGCTGAAGTTGAATCCATCCAAAATTGAGGTCATGTGGCTGGGAAAGACTGAGATGCTAGCTGGAGGATCACTCCCATGACTCAATGATGCCCAGTTGACAGCTGTAGACTCTGTAAAAAGCCTCAAGGTATGCTTGGATTCTGTTGTATCATTGGATAAACAAGTGTCCATGGTAGCACGGGCAGCATTTTTTCACCTATGCCAGGCCCACCAGCTGGCTTCTTATTTTTGTCAGTCAAACCTTGCCACATTGATCCATGCAGTGGTCACCTCCAAAGTGGACTATTGCAATTCACTCTACATAGGGCTACCCACCCTTGAAAATGCTTCAGAAATTTCAGGTGGTCCAGAATGCAGCTGCCAGGTTGCTGACTGGAACATCATGGTCAGCTCATATTACTCCATTTCTGCAGCAGCTGCACTGGCTACCAATTATTCTCCGGATCCAATTCAAGGAGTTGCTGTTAACCTTTAAAGCCCTCAACAGTCTGGGACACTCATACCTATGGGACCACCTCTCCCATTACAACCCCCTGTGCTCCCTTTGGTCATTGTCTAGGGGCCTCTTGCAGGTACCTAGTCCCAGGATGGCTCAGTTAGATGTCACCAGGGGATAAATGACAGCTCCTTTGCTTGAAATCAGTGCTCAGCACCTGTAATCACAAACCTTATGGTGGAATGAAATATTTTATGCTGGTGTCAATGACGGGGGCCGTCATTCCACTCTGGGGACTGTCATTCCAGTCCCAGAACACTCATGCTACTACTAGGGGCCATCATTCCACTCTGGGAGCTTATTATTCCAGTTGCAGAACACTCTGCTGCTCCTGGGGCTATAGCAATACCCAGTGCTAAAGACAGCAGTAGCTTTTTTATAGTAAACTAGAAATAATGCCCGTTGCGGAAATAAATACAACAGGATCTAGAAAGAGGCTCTGGGAGAGTGCTCTGGCTTTGGGCAAACAGTGTCAGTTTCCTGTGGCGACCTCAGCAGGGTTTAATGACAGAGTCCACTGTTTTCTCCAGAGGGACTGATCTCTGCTACCTGAAGAGCATTTGTATGTTTGAGTTATCTGTAGCCCTCACCCGGAGAGTGGTAACCATTGTTACCCATTCTCCTCTCCCCTATGAGGTATGTTATGCAACTGAAAATCCCAACTGCCTTGCGGGGGTGGGGGAGTTTGAGGTGTGGAATGGACTGAAGTCCAATCAGCTTCCATATGCAAAAGACCAGGTTGTCGCAGCAGTTGTGGTGTGGGCGGGACCCGGGCTTTGCCTTCTGATTGGTGGCGATATATGCTGAGGAGCAGTGCCATCAGCCATACACTAAGGGAGTGCATTTTAGAATTAGAACCTTGGCACCCACTATTCAATTATATATAAGGACAGATTCTCACCCTCTTATCAGCAGTACAAATTACTACTATGTATACAGTACTTGAAACTCCAGTTGAGTTTGCAGGGCCTGTTCCCCCATACGCACACAGTTTGAACACATGAAGCTGCCTTATACTGAATCAGACTCTTGGTCCATCAAAGTCAGTATTGTCTTCTCAGACCAGCAGCGGTTCTCCGCCTATCTGATCATTTTAACTGGCGATGCCGGGAATTGAACTTGGGACCTTCTGCATGCCAAGCAGATGCTCTGCCAGTGAGCTACAGTTTGAATACCTGTTTTCCAAAGTTTTCTGTGTCACATAAATCCACAGGTGCAATGATGAGGTAGCTAGCAGCAACCACAAATCTTTCTAGTAACCAGTAGTTACTGGTTGCCCAAATTAAAGTGTGAGCCCACATCCTTCTCCAAGGCTGGGGCAAGTGATGCACTGTATTCTTGGTGCTTGGGGGGGGGGGAACAGTGGGAGAGCTTCTAGTGTCCTGGCCCCACTGCTGGACCGCCTGATGGCACCTGGTATTTTTGGCCACTGTGTGACTAGATGGGCCATTGGCCTGCTCCAACATTGGCTTCTCTTCTGTTCTTCTGTTCTTAAGTTCTCTGTGCAGTGGGAGGGTTATCTCTCTTCCTAATGGTTGAGAAAGGCTGATCCTGCTACTATTCAGAGTTCTTGTGAGCGCCACCTCACTGCTTCCAAATGTCTTCAAAGGCTGGCTTAAAGTGATAGCCTGTATGTCCTCTCCAAAGTCTTCTGTAAAGGCCATAGGATTTGGAGAAGTGATGGAGGCAGTGGCAACCACACATAATGGCTGGTTACAGAAGCCAGCAAAACTTGTGAACTTATTTATTTAGTTTTTTATGGCATTTAGTCCTGCTGCAAGAAAGAAGTAACTAAAATGTTGTATACAGACAGTTTTAGGTCATTGCAAGGTTGGGAGTCCTGTTAATTTACAACTTCATTTCCAAATGTATCCAAAATCATATGCCTTTGTTCTATATGTGTTAAAATTTATGCTGTGTTCCCTTTTCTAAAATGATCTTTGCTTAGGCCCTGAAAGTTCTGAGGACTGCAGAATTTGCTCCTTTTGTTGTTTTTATCGCTGCACCTACAATTACCCCAGGCATTCATGAGGTAAGACTTATTACAAAGAAATCTAATTTGCAGAATGTTTAATAAATACCAGAACATAAACTAAGATATAGATAATTGGAAGTAATGGCGAAATCTTCCATAAAGTGCAGAATTTGTTCTCTGTACTCCAATAAAGTTTTAGAATACAGGTCTTCTTTTTTAACAAATTATTTGCATATAAAATATCCCTTTTGCCTTGCCATGTGTTAGTTTAAACTCACCTTTAAAGCGTACATTTCGAAAGGTATGTCTGTACCAGTCTGTTTTTGTATAACCAGTCTAATGAAGGGTGCATCTCATAACATTTCCTGTTACTAACTTTCCTTAATTTGAGTACTACTTCCTGCTTTCTCCATGAGTAGCACCTCAGTGAAGATGTGATAACCTTTCTCATGATGAGTCTGGAGAAATACCTTGGGGTGGTCCTCATCCCACCCAAGTGTTATCAGAATATTTCATTATTATTTACTTGATTTATTAATTGCCCTATCTTTACTAGGCAGGGCTCTTGGTGATATACAACAGAAGGTATATAGCCACAAAAAAATTCAAAACCATTAAAATTCTAATCACAAACAGAATTACAATAAAAAGTTAAAAACCAGATTTAAAAAGTCCAAAATGGCGTCTCTAGTATATTTTATCAAATATTTTATTTAATATTTTTATTGAATTTAAAGCATATTTTGAGCTTATTCATCCATTGATTAGACGTGCTTTGACAAGGACAGAAGTAAAAGGCTGTTTCTGAGATCGCCAAAATCTGGCTGATTTAAAATTCCACATACTTTCCCCCTTTTACAACAAAGTTAATACTGTGTACATGGGTGGCCAGGTGTAATTATGCATATTTCAGTATTTTAAAGGAAAAACCTGAGATTATATTCCCAAGCAAAAGGAAACCCCTACTTGTAGACAATGCATTGAAATTAACACAGAGCCAAAAGACTCAAACTGAAATTATGTTTAATAAGAGGTACTGTTGCAGACATATCCTACATGACTACCCTTGTTTTCTTTATTTTTTCTTGAATTATCATCTTTGCTTTTCTTCTCATTTTCTTGCACTTGTGCTAATTTTATCTAGCTGCCAAAATGGTGCAGAAAGCTGCCTGTAAGTACCAGCTAGGAATGTATAACATGTAACCCTTAAGTATTTTAATATTGTTTTAATGTGGACAACTAATTTCCAATTTGACATTATTTTCACTATTTAAGTAAATGCATAAAAAGCAAATGAAAGTGTTCTGAAGCTTTTTGAGGTAAATACCAAGCAGACATTTTTATTTATTATTTATTTTATTTATTTACAACATTTGTATTCTGTCTTTCCATTCTTACACAAGTTACCAAGGTAGCGAACAATTTAAAGCATACATGATAAAATTACATTTTAAAAACATTAAAATCAACTCCCCTCCCAAACATGTAAAACAATTTAAAAACAATTAAAATATATGAAATACATTAAAACATTGGTTAGGAAGGAGGGATTATTGAGGGAATGTCAAATGAAAGTAAAAATCTTCACTTGCTGGTGGAAGATGGCAATAGAAGAGGACAGACGAATCTCCCTGGGGAGAGAGTTCCAGAGCTTCTGTGCCATGACCAAAAAGGCCCTCTCTTGGGTTGTCAGCCACCTGATTTAAGAAGGCAAAGGCACCCAAAGCGGAGCCCCTGAAGATGAGTGTAGTGGTGGTGTGGTCAGGAAAGGTAATAGGCAGTCATTCAGGTATATTGGTTCCCAGCACCAGCACTTGAATTGTTCCTGGAAATAAATTGGAAGCCAAGTGTGACTTATGCATCTTAGTATTTTTCCGTATTTCCATGATGTTCTGTGCTTTCATGCCAATAAAGGTTTTGTGTGTGTGTGAATTGGAAGCCAGGGTAGATGGGCCAAGACTGGAGTGATACGGTCCCTATGACCCACTCCAGTCAACATCCCAGCTGCAGCATTCTGTAGCAGCTGAAGTTTCCAAACACTTCTCAAGGGCAGGCACACGTAGAGTGTATGCAGTAAACTAGTCTAAATGTAACCAGGGTATGTTTCACAGTGGCCAGATCCTTTCTGCCCAGGAAAGGCCACAGTTGGCTCACCTGTCAAAGCTGGTATCCTGCAGTAGGCCTGGGTCCAAGAGCACTTCCAGACTTCTGACTTGTCCTTTCAATGAGAGTGCAACCCCATCCAGAATGGGTGACACTTAAATCCTAGGTTGGAACTTCCACCCACCAGGAGCTTTTCTGTCTTGTTAGGATTTTCAGTCATTAACTAAAATTCCTTCCAATTCCAGCTTGCCCCTGAGAGCATAGTCTTAAAACACTTGTCTTGTTCAGAATGTGGATATGGAAAATATTATGACAATATCCAGTCCTGCGTGTAGACTTGTGTGTATATATATATGTGTGCATGTGCATGCGTGTGTGAGTGATTGTGTATTAAGTGCCATCAAGTCACTTCTGGCTTACGGTGATCTCATGAATTAATGACCTCCAAAACATCCTATCATTAACAGCCTTGTTCAGGCCTTGCAAACTGAGTGCTATGGCTTCCTTTAGTGAATCTATCCATCTTATGTTAGGTCTTCCTCTTTTTCTCCTTTCTGAGAGCCAGTTTAGTATAGAAGTTAAGCAGATGGTCTCTAACCTGGGAGAACCGGGTTTGATTCCCCACTCCTCCACTTGCAGCTGCTGGATGACCTTGGGCAAGCCATAGTTCTGTTAAAGATGTCCTTGAAAGAGCAGTTCTTGAAAGAGCTCCCTCAGCCCCACCTACCTCACAAGGTGTCTGTTGTGGGCCGGGGAAGGAAAAGGAGTTTGTAAGCCGCTCTGAGACTCCAAGTGAAGGGCAGGGTATAAATCCAATCTCCTCCTCCTCCTCCTCCTCCTCCTCTTCTTCTTCTTTCTGTGGCCTTCAACTTTTCTTAGCATTATTGTCTTTTCCACTGACTCTTGTTTTCCTACAATATGACCAAAGTACGATAGTCTCAGTTTAGTCATTTTAGCTTCTAGGAAGAGCTTCTAGGCTTGATTTGAGCTAGAATCTACATTTGTCTTTTTGGTGGTCCACGATATCTGTAAAACTCTCCTCCAACACCACATTTCAAATGAATTAACTTACTTCCTGTCAGCTTTCTTCACTATCACAACTCTCACACCCATACACAATAATGGGGAATACTGTGTTATGCTTTGTCTTGATCTTGGTCACCACCAACAACACGTCCTTATGCTTAAGAATCTTTTCTAAAACTTTCAGTGGCTGCCCTTCCCAGTCTCAATTGCCTTCTGATTTCTTGGTTGCAGTCTCCCTTTTGATTGATGATTGGCACCAAGGAACAGAAAATCTCAAACAATTTCAATTTGTTCATCATCAACCTTAAAGATGTGTAATTCCCCAGTAGACATTACCTTTGTCTTCTTGATGTCCAGCTGTAATCCTGCTTTGGCACTTTCTGCATTAACCTACAGCAGTGGTGGTTTAACAAGTCTTTACTATTTTCTGCTAGTAGTGCAGTATCATCTGTGTATCTCAAACAGATCCTTCCTTCCCCTGATTTTCACCCCATCTTCATTTAAATCTAATCCATCTTTCCTTATGGTATGTTCTGCATGTAGATTGTAGGGAGATAGAATACATCCTTGTCTGACACCTCTGCCAGTTGAAAACCATTGTATTTCTCCATATTCTGTCCTAACAGTAGCCTCTTGTCCAAAGTATACATTGCGTGTCAAAACAATCAGATGTTGTACTGCATATATATAATCTAGATTTAGAGTTACCTTTATGAATATAGCCCATTCAGAGCAAATTCTGTCTTGCACATGGCTTGCCACTATGAGAGAATAGCTGTTTTGGGAGTATGAAAGAGGAAGTTAGTGAACTGCAGAAATTCCTCTAAAAAACTAATCATCAGCCTCACCTCCCTACATCTTATAGATATGCAAAAGCATTGACCATTTCCTAATTATAGAAATACAGTGTGTACATGTTTCAAAAACAGAATGCTAAATAGCCAGTCTGGGCTTCAAGCCAATTACCATCAGATGCCATTTCAGAAACAATTTTTTTTCTTTCATGATGCATGAGATTGAAATGCTATCAGGAAGGCAGTTGCATATTAAAAGTTTGTACCTGGCTCAGAAAATATTTCTTGAAGTCTGTCTGCATAGATACCTCAATTTATTGCCATCCAAAGGATTCTGTCTCATTTTAGAGGAAGCCTGAGACAGTTGTACCAGTTGCCTGAGATAGGAAAGACTAACTCCAATCCTAACAAATATATAAATCTGAGGTTTATCACCATTTGTAGGCACAATCTGCTGAAGATAAAAAATGCATTACATTTGAAAAAAGACATCATTTTAAAATAATTACAGTATACTTTTTTTAAAAGCCAGTCAAAATTATTCAGATTGTGCCTCTAGTAAAGTAATATATGGAGTTCTTTTTAACCAGATCTATGCTGGAGGTGAGATAGGATAGGGAAGAAACTTAACGTAACGTATCTAGACCTTTGTACTTTCTGGATGATTTGCAGCAAATGTTCTTTAATTGTATGGTGCACTTTACACAATACCTCTATAATCGCTGACTTTGTATCAGCAGTGTTGCATGCAATATATTGGTGTGGGGAGCAGCAGAGACTATCAGAGATACTGTTTGCAATATTGATTGTGGCTGTATGATTAATCCACTGCCAGTTTGGCACAAGTTGTAATGTGGACATACCCAGCCTGACTGAAACTTTAAAACGGGCCTAAGTCTTTCCTTGGCCATTCCCTGCTCAGCGACTCCCTTATCTTCTTCCATTTCCCGTTGAAATTTTCCGAACATTCAGTTATTTCAGCTCTACTCTGGTCATTCCAGGGTTTTAGCCATTGTTAGTGTTGCCAGCCAAGTGCTTGCAGCTGGTGGGAAACTTTGGGGGGACAGAATCAATGAAATTGGCACAAACTTGCAGTGATATCATTGCATCAGGGCGACAGTCTAAGGTTCACCTGAAACTCTATGGTAAACCAGTAGAGTTTTATGTGAAACTTAGAACATCACTCCAACGTGGTAATATTACTTCCAGGTTTGTGCTGGAAGTCATCACTGGCCCTGGTCACACGGCAAAGTTGCCGCAGGAGAGGCACGGATGGTGGGCGGATTATCCGGGCGTGATCACACCCCAACATCTGGGAAGTAGAGCGCACCCGTGGCTTACCGCCGACAATGCGCGTTAAAAAACTAGTACCTCCAAGGTACTAGTAAACGTTTGCCACAGGCTGCCTCCAGACGCCCGTGGTGTGATCGCACCGGCGTGTGGCATTCCCCTCTGGTCCCTCATTTACCCACCGGCGCCGAGGGAAGGACCGGTGGTGTGCTGCCGGCGCGTCTGATCGTGTAATCGCAGATCAAACTGCGCCAGGGCAATTAGCCACGCCTCCCCCCCCCGCGCGCGCAATATCCGGCCCGTGTGACCGGGGCCACTGTTTTTTTTTCACCCATTTTGCTCCCACTGCTCCATGGAGCAGGAGCATGGGACTGCTGAGTGGGAGTCATAATTCTTTGGTAGACTCAATTATGTTCTTTCTTTAAAGTTCTCTCAGCATCTGCTGCCACTTGAGAAACTAACTCATTCTGCTATCTCACCCAGGCTTTCTTGTACCTTGCAGAAGGGTTTAAAATGCTAGCTTATTGTTAGTTTCTTTCTAACTGCACTAGAGGACCAATCAGGTTCACAGGAGCATTCATTTTCACTTTGCTGTAGCACCATGCAGCCACAAAGGGATGTCATAAGCATGGGTGGGGAGCAGTGATCCCTCTAAAGTGAGTTAGTGTGAGCTAGCTCACAGTTTTTTAGCCTCCGGCTCACACATTTTTGTCTTCGCTCAAGAAGGATGGCTCCAGAGCAAACTAATTTATGCAGTAGCCAAATTGCTCACTCACAACTCTAATGCCAGTAGCTCACAAAGTATAATCTTTGCTCACAAGACTCCACGGCTTAGAGGGAGCATTGGTGGGGAGGGGAGATGTTCATCTGTGATGTCACAGACCTGTCCACGCCTGCACTCCTTACATGGATACATTTTACACAACAGCAGTGGATGGGGGGGGGGAGTATTTCATTTTTCTGGGTACAAAATTATGATTTATTTATTGCTGTGAAATTTATATCCATGCAACAGGAATGTAGCCTCAAGAGGAGATGACTAGACTGAGTGTAACAAATTGGTGTGACAACAAAGCACTTATTATGCTAAAATTGATTATTCAGAAATGTCTCCTGGCTACTGAGTCCTGGGCATTTGAATCATACAAGCTGTAACTCAGCACTTTGCGTTTGTTTTCTTTGTTCACGAGGTACGCCCATGTATAGGAGGGGTATAGTACTTGAGGGAGTGAGGCGTGGTCAGGATAAAGCCTCATACCGTTTTGTCACTGTTTCCTTTCTTTGGATCTGTAAATGGAAACTGCTTCAGTAGTTTCACTAGGAAAGCAATAAAGTGAGGAAATGGCATTGTAGATGAGCTGGTGTTATAAGACACATGATACTGTTCATATCTCTGTCCTACATATTTTTGTCCCAGAGACTGGAGACCAGCCCTCATCTTTGAAAACGCAAACAGTGGTACCTTTGGGATAGACTGAGTGTCTGTGAAAGTGGGTGTCTGAGATTGGGAGTAATATATATTTTTCAGTTATGAGCATATAACCTTTTACCCTCGGTTTAAGACTCTGTAACTTGCTGTGGCAGCCCACACATTTGCTTATGAGTATATACCTTGCTTTCAGTAATGCCTGTCTAATGACAAAAGGAATTCTCTGTGAGTGTATGAAGCTGTCTTGTCCAGACAGGTTATCTTACTCATTTTGAAAGAGAGAGCAGGCACACATATATTTGTGCTTGCTCCATTGAAATAAATGTTACAGCCCACATACATGCTGAAGTGAGTGTCTTGGATCCAGCAAAATCTCCCCTTCTTCATTCCTCCACATGCACAGCTCCACTGCTGGGGGGGGGGGCAATTTTGTCCCCTTCCTCAAGTTACACAGGTGCCATGACACTAGGAATCACCTTTCCAGGGAGAGGAAAGCAGCAAAGATCTGTATCCACCAGTGCCTTCCGTGATGGATTGTTGGATCTGACCCAGTAGAAGTATATTTTTGCATAAGGGAGATTGTATTTGTGTATGTGATGTGTTTTCATTAATGAAGTAGCAGTCCTCCCTTGTTCCTTGTTTATGTTTGACCCTTTTTTCTCATATCATCCTTTATCAATTTAAGTCTCCTGAAAGTAGATACGTGTTCAGTTGTGATGTGAAGAACCTAATAAGTAGCTGTATTTACATTGTGCAGTTGAAGCAAGCAGTATAATAAATTCAGTGTAGTCATTATGTACTAAATTTCTAAGATAAAAACAGTTATTAATGAGTTCTTATGAAAGGATATAGTGTTGCTGTTTCCTTCTTTGTAAGTTAAAAATTTAACATACAGTGATGACAAAATGATGCAATTTTTCCCTTCCCTTTGCCCCAATTACTGTGCAGGATGAATCTCTTCAGCGCTTGCAGAAGGAATCTGAAATCCTACAGAGAACATATGCACATTACTTTGATCTTACAATTATCAACAATGAAATTGATGAAACAATCAGGCATCTGGAGGAAGCCATTGAGCTTGTTTGTACAGCATCGCAGTGGGTTCCTGTCTCCTGGGTGTATTAGTCTTATCACCAGAAGAATTTTATCATTACTGGGAACCGCCTCATACATGGAACAACCTCTTTGTTATTGACCTTGTGTCAGCAGGTCTTGGCCCCTAGAGACTACCTAGATGTAGTGTGACCGAAATTTATAATTATCGTCATGTCCTTATAGATAGGAGGAGAAAACGCTAATTTAAAGAGACAGTATCTTTTTTAATCAGTTCTCCTAAACTTTATTAAAATGTATCTTTAAATATATGTATTATTCAATCCTTTGGAATGTTATATTTTTGAAAATCATAGCTTTTAATTTCAAAGGCCCCTAAAACTGCACAAAATAGATGCTGCTTTCTATAATCTATTTTAATAATAATATGATCTGTTACTTGGGGGTGGAACACTACATTCTTTTTAGAGTCTGATTTTGTGAATTGGAATACCTTGCTTTCCTTTATTTATTTGAAATTTTAGCCAATTCATGGATGAGAAAAATTCTTAAATTCTTAATGGCCTTTCTTTGCTTTTTTATTTTATTTTATTTTTAGAATAGCATTTGGAGTACTTTCATGTAATATCCAGATAATGTGATACTGTCTCTTTGAAGAACTCTGTAAAACTTATAGAGATTTGAAGTTGGGTCTTGACTCTTAATGCATGTGGACAGTCGCAAGCGTTCATGCTGTTGGTGTATCTGTGTTGAAAAAAAACTGTAATCTACAGCAAAGTACATTCCGTTCATGGGGAAAAGTACCCAAAGGAATAAAATTCAATACTATGACTAAGTTGTAAAACCTATGCACATCCCTTGCATTTTGGGCAACTTTATAAACAAAAATCCTAATTTTTATTAATAATCATGTAGTGAAACGTGTTTGTAATTTTGTCTCAACTTAATTTGTTGTAAAGGTGGGCGGGGGAAAAATTACTGGTTTCACCATTTCAGATATGTGTTGTCTGAGAGTATTAACGTTTTAATTACGTTTAAGCAAAGAAATGCTGATTTTTAATATGTATGTAATTGTTTTGAAAATGCACACGTTTTAAGAAAAAAAATACTGTGCAATGAAGAAACCAGTTTAGACACTGCGATAAACTAACAATTCCAAAAGACTCATCTGCAGCAGCCCTGTAAATTTCTTTAAACGGTAAATGACTCTACAGTCTGACCAATTTTTTATTTTAAATATACTTCCTTTTATGTGTTCAACAATTAAATGCCTTGGGTCATTCATTTCATCACAGGATTCTTCAGGTTCTTCAGCAGTCAATCAAATCCTTTGTAGATGTTTAGAAAAAGTTCTCACCAGCTTTGTGGTCATTGGAGTTTTTGCTTTGAATGCAAGTCTTCAAGAATTGTGGCTCACATAGCAGATAAGGGCTGCTTCATACATTAACATTTCTTAGCATGTGCCCATGTTGTACATGTTAAAAGACAATATTTTGTCCCCAAACACATGTAATAAACGTGTAGTATAGGTACAAGTCACAGGGAAGTCCTGATTGGCCAGTGCCTCCCCGCTTTATATATTCTGGTGAGAAAATGTGTTCTTAACCTAATGTGCAAAGTTGCCCTACTTTCTTGTACCAAGCCTTACTAAGCAAATTTAACCATGTATTCATCTCAGGGTTATTGATACTTTTTCATTTTTCTAACCAGTCCTAAACAAGGGTATTCTTTATTCCCTCTCTCCAGGTAGAGGGAAATTGAACATTATCCATCCCAGTTTGTGATGTCTTTGTGAACCTAACCACTTTTTATCACCAGTATTGTTGTACCTTGGACTGATTGTTTTACATTTTTATTATTTAATATGGATTTTTTGCTTTTATTAAATGCCAGTATGTTTTTGAAAAACGTTATCCTCAACGTTAAAATGCAAAATTGTGATTTACATGTAGATGATTTCAGAACTTAAGGTATGCTACCATTTTAAGAAAGACTAAAAATTCGAAAAGAGCATTAGTATTGGTCATCCACTCTGATTCTGCTCATTTTCCTTTGGAACTGATAAAACTGCAACTGGTTGCTATCAGTTCCCTACGTTTATTGTGGTGTAGTCCCAGTGCATTAGTACCAAAAGAGTCACGGAACACCAGGAGGCAATTCTTCAGATGGTGTTGGTAGTGGGGTAGATCCAGCTATCCTCCAAGGAGCTTTGCTTCAACAGCTTCAGACTTTGCTTCAGTGGAATGGTAGGTTAGGGGGTAGGACTCATCCAAGTATCAGTAAAGATAATGTTTAACTTACAAGAAGGCCCTTAACTATTGAATGATCACCTGCCTTTATCTCAGTGTGTACTCCATGCCACTTTCAAACAGCTTTTGAACTGATATGTGCGTTACACACTTTTTGCTGGCACAAAATATTTTAAGAACATGTATCAGAGGTCATTTCTTTAACCTTAATTATTTTAATGGTGTGTGTCATGAAAGTACATGGGATTGTAGTAACCATGATGTCATGCTTTGGAACATTGTACTGGCAGTACTGCTAGAGCAAACTCCAAATGTGTCTTTACTCCCTAAATGTTTAAGAAATTGAGCACAGTATTCTTATTTATTTTATTTACTTCACTTATACCCTGCCTTTCTCCCCAGTGGGGAACCAAAGCAGCTTACATCATTCGCCTCTCCTCTATTTTATCCTCACAACAACCCTGTGAGGTAGGTTAGGCTGAGAGAGTGTGACTGACCCAAAGTCACCCAGCCTAGCCTCCATGGCACAAGTGGGGATTCAGGCCTGGGTATCCCAGATACTAGTCTGACACTCTTAACCACTGCAGCACACTGGCTTTTCTGAGTTTTCTGAGTGTGGAATCAGTGAGCTGATTCAAGAAGGTTGTATCTCCTTTTACAGTTTAATATTATTTCTTCTCTTCCCCCCCCCCCCTTCTAACAGCATACTGGACTTCTGATTTCTTCATTTTGGAATGATAAATATGTATGCATTGAAAAAGGTGCAGAAAAGGGCAACTAAAGTGATTAAGGGGATGGAACACCTTCCTTATGAAGAAAGGTCAAAGAGGTTGGGGCTCTTTAGCTTGGAGAAACGACGGCTGAGGGGTGACATGATCGAGGTTTACAAGATTATGCATGGGATAGAAAAGGCAGAGAAAGAAGTACTTTTCTCCCTTTCTCAGAATACGAGAACTCGTGGGCACTCCATGAAATTGCTGAGCGGTCGGGTTAGAACGGATAAAAGGGAGTACTTCTTCGCCCAAAGAGTGATTAACACTTGGAATTCACTGCCACAGGAGGTGGTGGCGGCTACAAGCATGGACGGCTTCAAGAGGGAATTGGATAAACATATGGAGCAGAGGTCCATCAGTGGCTATTAACAAGGTATAGATAGGAACTCTCAGTCTGGGGCAAGTGATGCACTGTATCCTTGGTGCCGGGGGGGGGGGGCAACAGTGGGAGGGCTTCTGTTTTCTTAATGTCTAAGATGCTTTAATAGTGCTGCCAAATCAAAATCAATTGGAAAAGTTCTGGTTGTTGAAGACTTAATTCTATGCCAAAGCTTTATTGCATCAGGCTGTATTTATGCCAGTGTGATGTAGTGGTTAGAGTGCAGGTCTAGGATCTGGGGAGACCCAGGCTGGAATTCCTGCTCTGCCCATGGAAGTTCGCTGGGTAACCTTGGGCCAGTCAGACCCTCTCAACCTAACCTACCTCACAGGGTTGTTGTGAGGATAAAATGGAGGAGAGGAGAACGATGTGAGCTGCTTTGGGTCCCCATTGGGGAGAAAGGTGGGGTATAAGTGAAGTAAATAAATAAGTGTGTGGGGGGTGCTTGGTACGTGCACTGAAATGGGTCACTTGGAAATAGTTTCCACTGAAATCAGGGTAATTTAGATACAATCCATGTGCACCTTTAGCAGCGTGGTAGCTGCTTGAAAATGCAACCCTGTGGTGTGTATCAAGTAGGTGTAAGCAGCCATGAAAAGATTCCTAATTGCAGCCACTTGAAGTAAACTGCAAAAGTCAATTTCACTGATGTGAACATTTTAGCAGAGTACTGAAAGAGCATGGACATCACAAAGACCAAGCATGCTAATGTAATTTGAGTGACTGTTGGGAGAGAAGCTAAGTGCTGCTTAACAAGCCTTTTAAAATCCTCTCATCTTCAGTGCTTAAATCAGATGCTACACATTTAAGAAGCTACATTTTAAAAATTAAGTAGCTTTAGTACCCTGCAGATGCAGAGTTCCCTATAATTTAGTGTATAAATGTAGGCTACAGTGATAGGACTACATTAATAAATGTAATAAATTTAACAAATTTAGGGTCCAGTGGCACCTTTAAGACCAACAAAGGTTTGTGAATTAATAAATAAGCCTTTGTTGGCCTTAAAGGTGCCACTGGACTCTAAATTTGTTCTACCGCTTCAGACCAACATGGCTGACCACCTGGATTAATTTAAGTATGTTTAAAATCTGAAAGCTTAACCAAAAGCCATACTGCTAGTATGAAGTTAGATACTTCTTCATGGCCTCTGTACATCACGCTGATTGGCTTTGCACTTCTACAGAGCATGATTTCAGAAACTTCTAGAGGTACACAATAGGTGCTAAAATCCCATTGCCCCAGGGACACAGGCTCGGATCATGCGTGTTGTAGGGGAGGGCCATACAGTTCATATGGAGAGAGTACTATAGGTCTTCTGTTAAATACTTTTTCCTCTGGTTCTTTAGCTAGGAATCAAACTACGTGGATGGAGATCATGGATCTTCATACCGTTAAAAGCAAATTACAGGTATATGTGGCCCCAATCCAAATCAGGCACACATGGCTGTGATTTGCCTGTAAAAGATTAGTGGAGATCTGTGATCTCAATCACATCAAATTGGACTCTGTTATCCACGGATAAAGTATTTTGAAGCTATGAAGTACAGAAGGGTCGGATCTTAAGTTTAAAACAAAATTGTAGATTCAGATTTGGTTATCATTTGCATTTAAATGCTAGATTCAAAATGTGGTTTAAATTTAAGCTTGGCCATTGGAGAGATTCCTGGTCTGTGGAGTAGCAGCTGAGACACCTGATCTAACATACCTCCCTAATTTCAGTAGCCAGTGTTCCATGGAAGTGTTCTTGGTATGTTTTATGCATTCCGTCTTCACCCAGGGATACAGTTAAGGATGAAGATGTTTATTGGGCTTACGCTGAAACTGGATTTCAGTGGCCAGCCTTTGTGTCAGTCTCAAAGCTTTCTAGCTCACTCACTT